AATAATGAAACCGACAGCGGTAACCGGAAGCCTTTTAGAACCGTTCTGTTGAACTGATTTGAGATATTGTCAGCAATTTAAGAAAATCGACTTTCTAGAATTGTCTTATAAAGGACAGGTCACGTCCGCAAAAACATTACGAAAAGGTACTCGCTCTTGCCTTGTGGTAAAATACGATCTTCTTTGCTGTTTTGACCTATTTCTTTCTCTTACCCTTTTTAAAACACAGCAAACACATGCATCTAGATTCAAACTTTTAAAAACACATCAAGTGCAACAAAAACTCAACGTCTGTCGAAGAATAAAATTATAGGGGATTAAAATGATCATCACAATATTGTGATCAGTATACAGCGGGCAACTTTTTTTTTCGTTGGCAGCGTAAGGAATCCGAGTTTTTATACTATAGAAATCCCAGTAACAAACTGACATCCTAGTTTGTTTACACGTTTTGGTGCGAAGAAAGTATACCTAAGGTTTTTGTTTGGCTGTTTGATATCCGCTTCATTTTGTTTTTATTATTTTTCAGCTAATGCAAGGCTCTTAATAGCTAATCAGTCAAGGAAGCGCTTTTCGTTTTAACTGAAAACAATTCAGTCTTAAAATTTTAGTCTGAGAATGATCTGTCAAGGAAATGTAGATTTTCACTCTCCTATTTTATCGCCCTCTGCCTCTTGTCACTTTCCTATTCACATCTCGAATTTTCTTAGAAAGTTGCTAATTGCAAGTATTGGAGAAACTATAGGGCTGCAAATTAATTTTCAAAACTTCCTAATAAAGGCATTGCACTTAAGGTGTTTTGATCTTAAGCTGACAATTTGAAGTAGCTTCTTTAGATTCTCATCTAAACATCTTACAATTAATACATACTAAATTTAGTTGATGATTTTTTATTTTGAAGCATTAGCAGGCGACAAAAGACACAGCAAAACAGAATAGTTGATATTTCGTAATGGCTTCCGTGGAAAATGCCATTAAGCCGGTTATTTCATGGGAAACACGCCCTCACAAAATGGCTTCCGACCAATGAAATTTCAAAGATTATACGTCTGACTACACCGCAATCCTTTCGATACTGGCCACTAAAAACACAACACAATGCGTTTCCTCTGAGTCGAGTTCGTGTCAACTGAAGGTTAAAGTTAAGAACCGACCTGACTAAATGAATGCACGTCCCTTGACACTGGTGGGTATTGTAACAACTTCTTATCAGATTCTAACATTTTTTAAATACTGTGCTGTATAAGACTATAAATTGTAAAAGCCTCTTCATAAATATTGATAATACTAGAGGATAATTGGACATTCTGGAAGCAATTTTTACAGGAAAAATCTGTTTATCGCTTTGAATTCATTTGAATAGCTATGTAGATGTTTACACGTGGAGATCTCCACCAGAACTTTTAAACTCGAGCCCAAAACGAGTAATAACTTTATAGAACCGTTTATTTTGCGATTCAAGTTCAGCTTTTCTCAACCAATAGCTCTCAGTCTTCGGAAAACATGAGCACCATTGCAGAAAGAAATAACTAAGCCGGATAAGATACTTTTTATTCAACTGGAAAACTCTTTCATGAAAAGAGGTCTTATAAATAACGTTTTTTTCAATCGGATCATACAAAGATTTAAATTTTCAGAGCTTCTGTTACAGCATAAGGAACAATATCACCGAACAAAACCTATCCGTGGCTACAATTTGATCAGTCAAACTTAAGGGTGGGGAGGGCGCAACATTACTGTAATTGGGGGAGAGAAGAAAGGGCTACAGTAATAAAATCCCCTTTTCCCTCTGGCCTTTGTCCCTCTCATCTTTGTTTGCCAGAAACATGTCATTTTCGTCAGCCCCTCCGGCTCATATAGCCGGAGGAGTACTGGTCAGGGGCTTTGAATGTCTAAGGGCCTTGAATTGGGGGACTTTTTCATATTATGTTACAGAGTTTGAGCATCATTCATACGGCAAGCAGTAACCAGCAAACGTCAGATTCAAGTTGAGAATTTCTCAAAATAGAAAATGAGCAGATAATAACAGCTAAAAACAATTTTTATGGATAAAAAAATGCGTGAAACTACTAATATATGTGTTGAAATAACGAACAGTAAAAGATAAGGGAAGGGGAAACTTGGTCACGCGGTACAAATTCGCGTTTGCCGTTTGACATAAACGTATGCTTTACTTGCCTAGTCCCAAGGCCTCATTATTCGGCGCGGCCAAAGCGTTCCGGGTCACGTGGTTCAAGCGGAAATGTGAGGCCTAGACAAAAATCCTCAAAAGTGAGACAGGTCATGCGGTGGTGTACAGTATTTTGTATTGTAAGGTTAAAAATATACCGCTAAAACACACAGATGGGAAGGGAAAGTTAAAAAAAATGCATAGTTTTCTTTTAGTGGACAAAGGAAGGATTTTCTTTACAAAATTGTCCTTCGAGGAATTCGAAATTCACGAAATTTTCATCACAGGGAGCGTGCCGCACAACAACAATAAGATTTATTTGCATGACCGTATACTTTACAGTATTGCAAAAGGGTATACAAACTGAGAAAGGAATAAAAACTATATTCATTGATAACAATTTATCCCGAAAATTAAAAAAAGATGATCTAAATTTAACCAATTCTTTGTTCATAAGATACGAAGTAGATTTCATAAATCTCATGATAAGTTCGTTAACAGATAGTTGCTTAATATTTGTGATCAGAAACTATATCTCACTCCCGTAGTTCCCTCGAAAACCATACCCGTTTCCAGACTAAAATGGGCAAAGTCTATACCCGTTATCAGACCAAAACGGCTCAAAAAACCTACCCTTTGGGCTGGCACATACCTATATGGCCTATATAAGGGAGTACCCCCCCCCCCGGGGGTTCCCAGTGGAACTAATTCATTTGTCCAGTTATCCCTTATCCCTAACTGAACTACTAACAGGGCAGTGCCTCAGTAGCGGATGGGATCAGCCAAGTGTCAAGCAAACTATGAACTCGTTCATATCTGAAGACTGACCTTACGTACATTTCTCAAACCTATTAATATTTCATAAAGGAAGGAAATTAATGTTTAATGACTGTTTGGGAATCGGATGAAAAAATGCTAATTTCTGAATCCTTAATTTCTCCTTCTAAAATCATTTTGTTTGAGAAGTTATATCAAGCATTCGACACAGTTATTCATCATTAGATGGAACACCTCGGCGTTCGTCGGAAATACGCGGCTGAGCGTCGTATTTTCAACTCTACTTCTCTGTGTTGCATCTGGTGATGAAACACTACGTCTCATGCTTGATAAATTATTACTTCAAAATTGTATCTGTCTAAAATTGACCGGAAGTCTAACATACTTTGACAAGGTAAAATCCTGTGTTTCGACGATTTTATGATAAACCCTATCAGCATTACTTTAGCAAGGTATTATTATTTATGCAGAATAACCAGCAAGCCGACTAGCTCTGTAGATCAGTTGTGCTAGTCGAAAATACTTACTGATAAAAAGAGCGCCTCTGCAAAGTGTCAGCCTTGCAATTTTTATTTTCATTTATTTTAACTATAATGTTCCTGGCAGTTACAGCAAAAATTAAATATTAGTGGAGTCATTATTATTGTTATTATTAATTTAAAAAATATTACCATAATTATTACTTTTTTTACTCACATTTACTACCTTCCTTCTTTTATTGTAAAAATTTCCGAACAAAAAAGTAACATACAATAAGATAAGACGCACGTTACCCAAGCGTAAATAAATGGAAAATGACGTGTGGGAAACGAATAGACTAAAGAGAGAAAAAAAAAGTGGTGCAAAATAAACAAACAAAAAAGAAAACATGTTGCTTCACATTTTGGCTGTGTTTCTTCCTATTATTATATTATTTCCTGCGATCGAATTGTTGTCTTGGCCATAAACAAATCCTTTATTGATCAAATTCTTTGGGTCAAGATGTCTGGATAATGGTCTCTTTCTAATTTCATTGTGTCTTTATTGACCTCAACTCCTTCTCTGTCTAAAGCATGTCCAGCCATATCGACCTCACGGTTGGTCAATAACGAATATCTATAAGAGTAAATCCATCAGTTTTGCACACTAGTTGCTATGACAACTTAATAGAGTAAGATAAAATGGGTCTTTGTTGCGTTTTGATCAATTCGCGAACTCAATAACGAGTGGACCATTAAACCAAGGAAACTTTCCCTAGTATGGGCAATTTCTTTTTTTAATTTCCTTTCATTATATTCATCTTTTAATGAATTTCTCATTGATGACACAATAATAAAGAAAAAGAATAAGTTACTGTGCACTATCTTTATCCACTCTAGTAAATTATTTCTAGATCGAAGGTTCATATTGTTCGCGGAAATGTCTTTAATTAATTCCGTATATATTGCTTACTATTAGTTAAGATCAACTGTTAAACACTCAACGTTTTCTTCAGATTTTAGCACTATACAAAATTAGTGATTAGCACTATTGATCTTGGACAAATAAAGGAAATGGAAATGTTTTACAGCTCTTAAGATTCGTATAGTCTTTATTTTTAGCAACAGCCTTCGGTGGACAATGAATAATTTATTTTCCATTTTTTTACAAAGGATTTTGAAATTAAAGGAAAAAAAATGAAACGAAACAGTATGTTTTAGGCTTACTCCACGACAAAAATAGATCAGCCCCTAAAATTTTAAAATCACATTTGCAAAAGATATAATAACATTTTGACAAGTACAATGTACAATGCAAAACTGCTTTGCGTCGAGGGTGAGAAATAAACTAATTATCTCCACTCCACTTTCAACATGTTTAAAGGCTAAAACAATTAACTGCGAATTGGAGATCAGAGGGTGAGCGAAACTGGCGTGTGTATTAGTAAGGTAAATTTTTCTATTGGCCAAAACTCTAATCAGACTCTCAGTCAATAAACGCAATACAAAACCAACACTAATAAAAGACGTTTCCATCTGTTTTTGTTTCAGAGCCGAAAACAAAAAGAGTACAAGAGAGTTTAACCCAAAGCACCATGAACAATACGACAACTGGCGACGAACTTTTATGGAACGAACACATAGCAGTGAGAGTTGTGCGACTTGTTTTATATCCTTCAGTTTTTATTATCGGCGTGATCGGGAACATATCAGTGTGTGGATTGATCCTTTGCGCTAAAACCAAAAAGTTTCGATCGTCCAAGGGCTACTTCATCCTGAACCTTGCTTTGTCGGATTTATTGGTACTTTTTATGTATCTTCCTTTTGACCTGGCGTATTTAGAGAACTACTTTGTCTGGCCGTTTGGCTTGGTACTTTGCAAGCTCATCAGCGTCACGAGTTCACTTTCAGTTACAGTATCAGGGTCCATGTTAATTTGCATCGGCTATGAGCGATACAAGTCAATCGTGCTTGGTAAGACCCTGGGGAGGCGTTTAAGCAAGAAAAAAGCCCTTGCTATGGTCGCGTTCAGTTGGATTTACTCCTGCCTGTTGCAAGTGCCGTTCGTGTACGCTTTGACTATAGAGGCCAACGGAGGCTGCAAGATCGACGTGGACTGGTGGCCTAACGAACTTACGTTCAACCTCACTTACATTATGGCGCTCATCGCGCCCCAGTTTGTGATCCCAGCATTGTGTCTCATTGTCTTCTACGTGGGAATTGTCTTTCACTTGAGGAAAGCGCACAAGTTGAACACGAAGCAAGGCATTTACACCAGCGTGAATGTCGCGGAAAAACGTGAGCAACAAAACCGTAAAACAACCAAGTTATTAACTGGCTTAGTGTTGGTGTATGCATTTTGCATATTGCCCAACAAGTTGATACTTCTGAACATCCTGATTAACCGAAAAGTATTGTCGTCGTCACTTACCAGGGAATTATACGAATTTACTAGGCTATTAACAACCGCTAATAGTTGCCTCAATCCTATTCTATATACAACTCTGAGCCGCAGTTTTAGAATGGATTTGAAGAGGATGCTGTCGAGAAGCCGTTCAGATGCCTCCAGCTCTTTTTCGAACAAATATTTAAGGACTTCACGAGAAACTTCTCGCTCTCAAAGAAAATCTAATGCACTTAACTACCATGTTCGTTTGGAGGAGGCAATAGAGAAGCTCGCAAGCGGACAAATTGAGAGCTTAAAAGAGAGCAGAGTGTAACGACAGGAAAATATCAATACACTTTCGAACACTTGTCTGTTTGCAATAGACATTAGGTTCCATGCGATAGAGATCTGTCAATCGCACCTTCATAAAAAGTGAGTAAAATAAACAATTCTTGAATTCCCCAATGTAAAACAATGAAAACGAAAGCAGTTTTGGGGGATATTCTTTTCCACAAGAGCTTTACAGTGAAAAATCACTGAGCGGAGAATATCATCGATAGACCTAGAGGATAAGAGGTGGAACCACCTTATAATAACGTGCTGCTCAGAATAACGCGCCATACTTTTGGATTTTACTAATAGGCACAAAATACTGCAAACTCTAGAGCCAAATCTCATCGTTAGACTAAGAAGTGAAAGTCACCATTTACACCATAGCCAAAAAGTACACCTGATTAACCAAGCTTCACAGCAGATTTACATTAGTTTGTTTTCCTGGGCGTATTGCAGTATCAAAAAAGTGAACACACAAAACAACAACAACAACAACGGCATCATCATCATCATCATCATCATTATCACCATAATTGCCATCATTATTACCAACAGCAGCTTGGCCACAGCCAGCCCCACTCAAACCACCACTAACGGGAACCAAACCCAAGCCAGCAAATCTAAGTAAAGTAGGCGGGGGAAGGTTGAGAAAGACCAATGTACCCTACCTAATTAAAAGAAGCAAGGTAAAATAACAGAAGCAGAATCGAGTTACTTTGGCATAAATTATTTGATATTTAGGCTCTAGTTTATGGCAGCCAGAGGAGGACGTAGACGAAGAAATAGTAGTGTAACCTTTAAGTATTGATCAAATATATAAAATTTGAAATACAACAAGGAACTACTTGAAATCTAAAATTTACAACATCAACAATAATAGTAACGATAACAATAATAATACAGTCTGTAATGATATCTGTTTTGGTAATAATACTATTAAATAATTATCATAGTAACAAGTAAGGAAATAGCAGCAGCATCGACGCTTCATACAAATATCCCGCGACGGTATTGTAGTCAAAATTCCAGGTCTTGCACCAAAGCTGCTAGTATCAGAGCATTAAATTAATAGGTAGATAAATAATTTAAAAAATAATCATAATTACAAATTAAAGAAACAGATGTAAACAAATTCCGTATCAAATATCATCAGTATACCGATGTTTCAATGACATAAGTTACTAAATGGAGAAAATAAACAATTTGCTTTTTCAACAAAAATTGAGATTGCATTTTATTTTTTCCATGGTTATAAATGTTACCTCCAAATAAATAACGATATATTATTTCACTGAAGTGGAGATGGCTATTGGTCGACATTTACCACCGACACTGAGATGAATAATTGTTTTAGTATGTACTAAAACAGTGGGGTAATTGAGCACAAAAATGATGGTTTTTAACTTATTTACTACCGCCAACGATTACAATTTTGGCGCGCAAATGACTGAACGGCCGTGGCGTTTTCTTGCCGACGAATAAAAGGCATTTGTTCAGCTATTGTGGGAAATTTCTTCAAAAAGAGTTACAAATTCTTTTCGTATTTGAAACCATTCTGTAAAAAAAAAACTATCAAATTTAGTTTTAAGCTTATTTATGAACGTGTCAGCTAAATGAAACAACACAAGGCTTAATTTGCATTTGTAAACAAAAAACATTTTCACCGCTTTCATCAAAAATTCAAGTCAAACAGACAAAGCTATACCTGTTAAAGCTTCCAAACCGAATTTCGTCGCCTTCTTCGAGTATTTTGGAAACAGTTTGTTTGATTATTTATGAAATTTCTATGTCTGTTACAGCAGGAAACCGGCAACCCACTTTGCTCGTAACTAACGCGAGTTAAGCGTCGCTCGCTCGGAGGAGCTGGAGGTTAATCAGTTAGCACTGGATATCCCGACTTTGAGTAGCCAATCAGAGCGCACGAAAAACACTTTCCACTGTTTTAGTATAGGTATATGTATATATATATACTAAATGTACTTAAAAGTCAACAGGAGTATGAGATATTACGCAATGTAAATCACAAACTAGGTCTTAAGTTTAAGCTACACGACACCAATGTGTTTAGTAATAGGATTTGATGACTAATATAACGGGGCTTCAAAACGTTGTTTCAATTTTTAAGCGACTTCTGTTAGTGTTATTACATGAATAATCGAAAGTTTCTTCTTTTGATGTGAGTCCTAAGATGTTAAATACCTGGCCTAATGGAGATTTTTCTAAAAAGGGAGATGATCAGAAAAGTTCTTAGATTAACCCCAAAGTTGCTCAGTTGTCTACTTTCGTATTCGCTTGGGCAAGAAGGTTATACTATAATGAGCTACGGCAATATGTCTGACTACCCAGAAGCGATAAAGGCTTATATTAGGCAGGCAGGAATAGCACTGCTCGACACGTTTCGAAATGAACTATTAGGGTCGGCCTACAACAAACGCCATAGAAGTTTAAGTGGCTGCAGCATGAGATCTTTTATGCTTTAAAATCTCAGTACTTGTAAAAGAAAATTGCTGCTGACACGTGCTGCAATAGTAAGGGTTCCTTAAACGTTCAATAGACGACTCGGCTGCAGATTCTTTGTTTTTCGTCTGCGACTGCGTGGGCCCTGGGTCACTGACCGCTGAGTCGCCTGAGGGCTCATCATGCTGGCATTCTTCTTGATGCTGCAATCTTTCCAAGACAGTTACCAACATTTTCTTTCCACATTTCTCGCAGCGCCAATGTTTAGCAATATATTGAGCTGCGGCTGAAGCAGCCTCGGCCATAAGGGTGTCTTGAAGGCAGTTGTAGGTTAGATAATCATTCACACGAAAGCCTCCTTTGACTGGATGTGGCTCCGAGGCAGCTGCGAAAGAGAACTCTCCCTTAAATTCGACGTACTCCTCCGTTTGCCTAATCGGACCGAAGTACAAATGCTGGCTTTCAGATGGCAGAAGGCGTCGAAGCGAGTAACGAACATCGCTATCAAGAAATTCGGCGAGCTTCTTCGCCAAAACATGCTCCAGGTCGCGTTCTTTGTTACGTCGAGTTGCTGAACTACGTTCTTCCCTTTCCGTGTCTTCACTTACAACAAAACGAAGCTTTATCAGGAGCGCCCACGTTACACGTAGCTGCATAACAGCGGTAAGTACTTTGTGTCCCGAAGCGCTGTCTGGGAGACAGATTTCAATCCAGCAGTCGACAACAAAGCGAGTTAGATCAGCGTTAGTATCCAAGCTCTGCGCAAAAAGCAGAAGAGTTTGGAGAGCTGGCACGCGCATGGCATTAACCAAATATGGCTTGTTAGTTTCTAAGAGAGAAACAAATGTTAGCAGCTGATGGTTGCTAGAAGACTGGGTCTGTTGCTTGGATGGTGTGGGTTGAGTTGTCGGGGCTTCAATGGGCAGCAAGATGTCCGGGCGGGTAGCAAACACACTGGTGGGGTGAATAAGAAGAAACTGCTTTGATTGACTGTGAAAGAGCTGTTCGGAGTCCCTCTTCCCTGAATTGCCTTCATCGGCAACGGCAAGGTTGGGGTACAATCCACTGCAGAGAATGATCTTAAGAAGATTTATTTCTCGCAGCGTAAAACTGCGTCTAGCTGCACTCCCGGCCTGCAGTTTGTCAAGGTCGTGCGTCAGTTTGAACTCAAGGTCACGAATGTCAGACGCACTATTGTCTTCACTTTCACTGCAACCGTCTTCGTCGAGTTTCAGCATCTTTGTCTTCCTCGACGACTTCCGATGGTCTCGTTTTAGCTTCTTTAACTTGCGCCATTTATCCTCCTCACGATCAAGCTCGTACTCATCTTTATCTCGCTCGTTTTGTTCGATCAAACGATGATCCCGAAGTAACTGCTCAAACTGGCGCTTAAGTTTCGATATTTCATAGAAGCGTTGTTCTTCTAGACCTCGCCGTCTGCACCATTTTCTTGACAAGCCTTTACGGCTTTTTATCTGGAAAGTCAAAACGTTGTAGACAACAGTGTTTCAGCTACTGCCAGTTAAGCACATTGTTAGCAATATCAATTATCAGACACAAAGGTTCTTACCACTGCGGTATGTGTGCTACATACATGTATTTTGAGCGGCTCATGACTGGAGTTTCCATAAACACTCTGCAGTCATTCGCTTTGTTTCTAAAATACATTTACACGGGTCGCTGAGCAAAAGAGAGGCAGAGTTTTTTTACCGTATTGTATAAGTATATGCGTGCTTTCAACGAAAAATGCCTTACAGAATAAAAAAACTTCTCTCGTTTATTCCGGCTAATCGTTACCATCAAAATTGCTGCTCTATTTTTATGCGACGATAACAGCTTTACTGATATAGAAAAAATGTGATATCTATGTGCTTTTCCACGGCTCTTTCTGAGGGTACTTTACGTTATATGGTTAAAAAGGTCTCACCTGTAACCACTCGTCATAAGCATTCAGCAGAGTAAAGGGGTCGCCATGATCAGACTCTAAGTGCTGCCGCAGTGACGTCACATCCGGATCATGATCGAGCCTTCGAGTGAAAGGAGACTGGACACTAAGAGCCGCGGCAATAACCATCACGGGCTCAATCACGTGAAAAACCGAACCAATCAGCAGCATTTTTCCCACGACGACATCAACAGGCAACTGGGCCAGCATGTGACCAATGGGAGTCAAGTTCTCGCTGTCTGTCAGCGCGCCTTGCTGTTTAAGAAAGTGGATTGAATTTTCCACATTCGAGGCAGGAGGCGGTTCTATAAATGGAAACTCCCGAATGTGGGTGATACCGAGGGACACCATTTGGAGGATAATGGAGTCCAGGGGCACCCGATGGATCTCAGGAGTGGTGTACTGTGAAAAGGCGTGGTAGTCACTTTCTGAATACAAACGAAAGCACACACCTGGACCTGTACGACCTGAAATACATCACAAACAAAGTATAAACAAGACAGCGCAACATTTCTTTTTCTATCATGCACTTAAGACATGTAACTCCCTTAGCTCAAACACTTGAAATTCAATATCACTTAGCGAGCTCAAGAGGAAACCAAACAGGGAGGTCCCAGTTGTGTTGATATAGTCATTATTAAGTATTACGTGTATTACGTGTATCACAGTATTACGTGTATTACGTGTATCACAGTATTACGTGTATTATTTGATTTTCTGTATTTTTCAATTTTATGAATTTTTAATTTTATGTTATTTTAGATTTTATGTACATTTTCAGGTAATTTTGGAATATTTTTGAGAACTTTTAAAGAATTTTTTATTAATTCTGAGGGGGAGAAGAGGGAAAGAATTAATTAAACATTGCATTGCAACTAGGAAAATTAATAAGTGAATAAGTGCGTCATGAAATAAATTCCACAAGGACGTCGATCAATGAAAAGACGAGAAAAGAAATCAAAGTGATGGAGCAATTTACACATTTTACATCCCACAATACCTAAATGTATCTTAAACGAGTTTCAAGAGTCCGAATTAAGTGCTTGTTGTGAGAATTGAATAAAAAGTATATTTCAAAGTTCCCAAAGAGGAACCAGGCTTTAAAAATCATCAAACAGCATTGAAAAGATAGGGAAAATATTGAATTAAAAGTTGCCAAATCACAAACATTTTAAAAAACATTTCAAGAGTGTACTTTCTCGTCCATCTAAATTTGTACATTGTAATCATTGGCTGAGAGCTTATAGTTAATTTTGGATAGCAGCGCAACCTACAGATTAGATACTGTAGTTATCTACTAGCGGATGACTGACGTAGCTGTGGAATGCGCGCGCAATACATGATTTCCAAGAGCAGCGACGACGGTATGTTTTTCGACAATTTCTTCAGAAGAATTAATGAAACAGTTATTAGATTCGGTTTATGAGTATCCGAAAAAATAACGGCCTGGAGTTAATGTTTTCGGCCGAGGCTGATAACACTCACCTCGACCTCGATAATTCCTGGTATCACAAAAATCTCACGCGATTATTGCTTAATATTCACGGTTTTTAGAAGGGGCTACCCCTTTTCTCTGAAACTCGACAAAGAACCTGTCTCACCTGCCCTGCCCTTACGCTGCTCAGCACTGGCTTGACTGATCCAGAATTCACGGAGTCGCTGCATTTTAGCCTCGGGATCATAACTCATCTCTTTTACCTGCAGTAATGAACAATTCAATGAGGGGTTAGCCTGTTCGGATCATAATACGTCTCTGAGAAACCTGTATGTATGTACCTTTCCAGAGTCTACAATGAATCTAATGCCGTCAATAGTGATGGAAGTTTCCGCGATGTTCGTGGACACAACGCATTTGCGCACTCCTTCCGGAGAAACATCAAACACCTAGAGAAAAGAAAATATAATGAGTGAAATATTTATCAAAGCGAGGATGGCTAAATCGCGTGGGTAGGTGGGTCGTGGATCGCGGAACAGGGTAACAGAGGAGCAAAGGAACAGGGGAACAGAAGACAGGAGAACAAGGCAAAAGAGGAACAGGGAAACAAGGAAACAAGGGCAACAAAGGGAACAGGGGAACAAGAGGAACAGGAGAACAAAGTGAACAAGGGAGCAGGGAAACAGAGGAAAAAGGGAACAACGAAACAGGGAACACGAGACTGGAAAACAGGGAGAAGTGGAAACAGGGGAGCAGGGGAACAGAGGAGCAAAGAAACAAGGGAACAGGAGACAGGAGAACAAGGGAACAAGGGGAACAGGGGAAACAGTGGAATAAGGGGTGACAGGAGAACAAAGGGAACAGGGTAACAAGGGGAACAGGGAAACAAGGGGAATAAGGGAAAACAGGAGAACAGGGGGAACATGGGGGAACAGGGGAATAAGGGAACGGGCAACAAGGGGGAACAGGGGGAACAAGGGAACAGGAGAACAAGGGGGAACGGAGGAACAAAGGGGAACGGGAGGAACAGGGGAACAACAATGGAGTCTATTCACTTGATGCCACATCCGTCATAGCCTACGTAGCAAGCGTTTCCGTTAGGTTTCAAAGCAAAGAAAGACAGAGGAACAGGACTTTTGGTTTTAGCCGCCCGAGAAACTCGTCGCTGTCTTTGACCCTCGTTCCTCGTTTTTTGCTCCGAAACCGCACGGAAACGCTTGTTACGCAGGCTACATCCGCCATGGTGGTGGTGCTCCAAACCAGTCCTTATCTGATGTAAAAGCTTTCTTCTGTCGCAATAAGAAAAGCCAGTTTTTACCTTGTCTTGTTCCTCCACTGACAGTGAACTATGCAATGGCAGTACAACCCACCGGCGAGTCCGCTGTGCATATTCCCTTGCGGCGTCAACAACAGCCGAAATTTCCGACATACCACTAAGAAACATCAAAACATCGCCGCGCTCAGAAGAAGGATACTGTGAAAACAGGAGCAATAAGAAACGTTTTAAGAAAGCTTAAGTCTAAATCTAGGTGAAACGGACGCAACAAGTCCCAACATTGATGGCCCTTAGCTGAACGTTTGACCAGTTTCAATCTTTGCGCAACAACTCCCAACAACACGCAACAACAAGCAACAGGGTGTGCAAACGGACGCAACACGTAACATCGAACAATGTTGGGAGTTGTTGGCCAACAATGTTGCAACCGTTTTCCCGGCGCTTGAGGCTGGTCAAATACTAAAACCGTGTACCCCCCGTCCATGTACTGTACATGACCTTCATTTACAAAGCTGTATACTTTATCTAGTTCAGTTCTCTTATTCTTATAGGGGTAAAAAGACAATAAAGGTCTAAGAACGTGTACGGTACTGTTAAGGAAAAAGAAATCCCTCCCAAGTGTGATGCCTAGTTCAAAATGAATTGATAAATACTAAATACATAATTAACTAATTAATTAATTATCTTTATGTTGTCCTTTAGCAGCATGATTGAAAATAAAAAAATTGTTGAAATGAGGCCCTAAACTGCATCATTTTTACGCTTTTACACATTTTACCTTACACCTATTACATACATATATTTTTTTCCATCCCTGATCATGCCTTTAATCGGCGAAAGCTTGGATTCCAATTTTATTTTTGTAGAAAAGCAGTTTACGGCCTTATTTGAACAATATTTCTAAAATTAATTGATTAATAAGTGAATCAATAAATAGATAGATAATAACTGACAAGATGTCGATTCACCCAATCACTCAGGGAGAGGAAGGAGGGAGTAACATGGCAGTGGAGGGGAGGGAAAGGATATTCTCCACCTAGTAAACTCTGTTTACGGCACAAATATTCCGGCGTGTGATTTGTAACAATAACCTATGGTCGAAAAAAGGTTAGATTGAGCAGAGAATGTTGACAAAATTATCCCGTACAACTTTAAGATAGTTATGAACGTAATCATAGTCTTCAGGCGCGGTTACCCATTTCGTTGCGCCGTTACCAGGCACATTGAGGGAGTTGTTCAGTTTCACATTCATTTGTTTGGTCAAATATTTGAGACGTTTTCGTCGTCATCTTGAATTTACGACGTAATGCGCTCTTACAGAGTCATTAGGGACTTTAAAATACAACGACATGACAGCAAAGAGAACGTCGCTTAAAAAGTGAATTTGCGTTCTTTCAGTCTTTATCGCGATTATCCCTACTTACTTACCTTTTTTTTTTCAACTGTACGCGAACCCTCCTGAATTTGAATTCCAAAGGGCCATATTCAAGTTCAGAAAGCGAAATAAAATTTCCTCATTGCTTGTTTACATTCTCCATTATAACACGAAATTAGGCATTTTCACGTCGTAGTCACGCAAAAACGGTAAAAAAAATGTACAAAAAAGCGTAAAGCACGTGCAAAGTTGTTGTTTTGCTTATTAAGACCCTGTTTACACGGAGTGGGGGACCCCGGTCTAGTGGGGTAGGTTTCTTTTGTTTTGTGTCCCAAAGAGCGTGAAAACAAAAGAAACCAACCCCACTAGACCGGGGTCCCCCACTCCATGTAAACAGGCCCTAAACCTATTGTTCTTCAGAGGTTCTCGTTACCGTCGCGTCGTTGAATCTTAAAGTCCATATTACCACGAGGTCAACCGACGCAGACTCTGCGAACGAGATTGCCAAGCAAGTTTCTCTAATGTTCGGTCTCCCCTGCTTAAAACAAGGGTCTAAGGAGAGTGTTTGAGCAAAGTTTCGTTTGCTACGAGGATTTTGGCCGTTTCTTTTGCTCTGCGGGTAAGTTTCATTTACCATGTTGTTTAAAGGATCCATGAAAACTAACAGCACAACTAAGAAAACTCGAACGCGCTTCCTAATCTAAGATTGCTACTAGTTTAAAACAACGTTTTTTTGCTCCCAGTCCAACACTTCAAGCTGCGGCCATTATGACGAACAGAAAAAATGGCAACTACAAGGCCACGTCAGCACATATCCTTATAACAAAATATGCGCTATCAAAAATGTCCGGATTCGTGTGGATAGGGCCTAAAATTTCAGCGAGAATCGTCAATTTGGTGACCTGTGTTTGGCGGAAATATGCCAAGCTGCAGTGTTTTAATTAGTTTATGGTCCTCCAAAAATTAGGGTGAATTGATTTACGCGAAATGTTATGCTCCAATTTTCATTACCATTCACTTTTCACCTTGGCTGCCCGGGCTTTAAGTGATATCGCTCCGTGGAGAGGGGGGTGACTCATACGGGGAGGCTTCGCTCCAAGGTCTAACGCCTTAAACCCTCAAAAAGATACCCCTTTCGGGCGGAACCTCCCCCTACAGGCCATAATAGGGAGTACCCTCCCCTCCGGGGGATATCGCGTGCCCCTCCAAATATGAGTGCAAAAGTTCGGTGGCTATTGTGATCATATTTTTCCTAGCAAACAATATTATATGTCTGGCGACCATTCTATAATTTTCGGTTGCCAAAAGGCAATTTGAGCTTCCTGAGCTTGGAGCACTGTAGTCGTCTTAACGTCCAGATTAGTTTACTGTTTTTCCAGGTAACTCTCTTGACGGATATGGGAATAATGCAACAAAACCAGAATAAAAAAAAAACAAAACAAAACTAGAGCCTATGGTGGACGATTTCTGTCTTGGACTTACTCACCGCTACTCGCGATTTCTTCGATAGCTCAGTTGGTCGAGCGGAGGATTGTAGAGTACATGAAGTTATCCTTAGGTCGCTGGTTCGAATCCGGCTCGAAGGAAATTTTTATAATTATAATATTATTTGTTTTTACTATTGTGTTTTTGACAAGAACATAATTTCATTCGAAAAGACTCGCGCCACACGTGACGAGCAACACGGAAGACATTGACGTGTAAACGCGTTTACTACGCTACTACATATTTAAACTGAAGCACGTCAGAAATTACACCATTGTCTCCTTAAGTCGAATATACTTTTATTAAAGAGGCCAATAACTAACCTTATGATCAATAAGCTGCATAATTCTGAGGTAAGGGGAGGGATCCAGTCTCTCCGAACGACTTGAACTGCTGGAAACTTGCTTAATAGGGCGAAAAACAATAAGAAAATTAATCAACAATTTGCGCTAGAGAAAAGCAATCGAAGAAACAAATTAAGGAAATAGAAGTCACAAATACCTCAACTTTTGTTGGTTGGTAGCGCACTTCGATGGGAAATAGTCGGCCTGGGATCTGCATTAGAGATAGTTTAATAGAAATTAGCGATTTACCTCAGAGTCATCTGAGTTTTACGTCACGCTCGTCCTTCGCCACTTTAAAAACAAGATGGAACCTGGTCCGAGCTAAGACTTCTGGGACTGTTACTAGGGACAGGTAAATCCCCAGTAACGATCCCACAATCAATTGCGGGACGAATTTCGGTTCCAGTTCCATTCTATTTTATAAAGTGGCGAATGGGAGTAAAGATTCAGATGATGACATCATCATACATGAAGTACTGACCTGAATCACCGGGGCTCCAATGAAGTAGCCCGCAAACAAGCTATTATAAACAGAAGCAGAACAAATGTTACCTCATTGTCTAACTAAATCAGTAAAATCAACAACAACAACAACAACAAAAACAAAAAAATTTCTGATTGCAACCTGTGTGAGTTGATTGTTTCTCATCTCATGCCCATTTTTGCTATTTTCAAATTATTCTCGCATAGCTTGTTCCAGGCTCCAAGATAATGGAGAATGCGGATCGAAAAAAAAATTGCGCGAAAACCGTCTGCACTGACCTGGAGCCAGTCTACTTGACCAACCTCTCATCTGTACGAACAGGGAGTGCTCACCGTTGTGGTGGCACTAGTGAAAGGCCCAGGAGGAACTTCTCCCCTCCTCTCCTACATTGTATATATTTTACCCGTGGAATTCACTGAAAAGAGACACGTTTGCGCTAAATTACCTATGCACAGCTGACGATAGCTTGAAAAATATTTCGAGAACGAAATAAAGGCCCTCTTCGCGGAATAAGTGCTTACTAATGACATTGAAATAAACGAACCGGGCACCAAATAAAGCATTTACGGTACGTGGTCATTTACATATATTAAAAGTTGTAGCTATTTCAAAGAGAACCACCTCAACACACCCCTTACTTCGCCAAGTACATCGCGCAACCAAACAATGTACCTGATATTAATAGTAGCAGACATTAGAACAAGCTTCAGATCAGCACGCGCCTGCAGTAAGCCCCGTAACACACCCAGCAGAAAATCTCCGTGAATATGCCTCTCGTGTACCTCATCAACCACAATAACACTGTACTGACTCAGGGTGGGGTCGGACGATAACTGACGCAGCAGAAGACCTACAGGTGAAAAGGCAATGAGGAAAAGAGGAAAAAAAATCTTTCATTTATACTGATAAAAGCATGAGCTCTTTACAGAACTGGGTTTGATTGGGCAAATAAATGCGGTGCACTTTCGCAAAGTACTTAACTAGAAAATATACAGAATGATTACAGGAACACCTGTAGCATCTACAAAGAAGTGTTGCATAATGTAATCGGACTGACCTCCGATTTACCAAGCTCTAAGAAGATACAAGACAATTACGATGCTCAAATAATCTGGCTTAAGAAGAAAAAATACTGACGAAACATCTCAAGTTACAGCTGTGGGAAGTGATTGTAAGTCGGTAGATAAAGTAGTGAATACAATAAGGCCCGGTATAATAGATGTAATTTTTTTTTTACACAACTAGCTAGTTAAAAATCTCGTGTAAAAAGGTTTAAGGAATTAAATTTGATCTTGTGGGTGAACGACCCACCAGTTTTACAAAATGTTTCCAAATCAGTTTGAGACTAGCACTAGAAGAAAGATTGCATCGTCTAAAAAGGCAGCTACATTTTGGCAACTTTCAAAACGGAATAACAAGCACCATTTGGTTTTCTTATCGAAATTTCCGCTTTCCCAGTCTTTATGGTATAAACCCATGGATTACAAACTATGGGTCTGTAACCTCGGATGCTGGTACACCAATAAGAATGAATATTAGGTGTAATCTTGCCAATAATTGGAAGGGATGAAGTCATTGTTCTTACTATTGCGATTATGCGACCAATAATAATACCGTAAGCCTTTAACTTTTGACGCTTCGAAAGGCACCAAGTATTTTATAATATGGTAAAAATGTGTTACTACTAAGACGGACACCATGTTTTCTACTTATACCTTCTGTCAGGAACAAAATCCTTGTGGCACGGGTTTTGCTAGCTTCAAATCGAATCTGTCATCGGAAAAAACTTTTTTTAGAAAGAAATCAACACGATGAAAAGTGTAATTACAAGGTCACTTTTATACATTTAAACGATGACTGACTGAAATCAAACGCGCCAAAAATACACAGTCCATCGCGGTATCAGATATTCACAATGGTAAAAACAAACTATAAAAAAGCGAATATAGAAGCAAGTCGGACCTTCTGAACTTGCTACGATTAATAATTCGGAATAAAAAAACATCATACTTACATAGGGCGTTATAGTATGAGAAAATGATCACTAAGAATACGCTTTAAAAATTATACATATATATTTAAAAAAAAATACGAATATGTACAACACAGAACAAAATAATACAAAATCGAAAAAAAAATAGCCATACTCACTAAAATACTCGAATAAAAACTAATGGTAATAAATCAGTTATCAAAATCGAAATTATTGAAAAAACTGAGGCTATGTTCAAATTATACCGGCCGGATAGCTCGTGCGCCGACACGAAAATCCTACTGGATAGGGCTTCTGCTCTCACATACGGACGCCGCTTTCGGCGCAATTTCTGTACCGGAGCGAAGCCTTTGAAAGTGGATCGCCACATATTAGATAGGTTTCTGCCACTATTCTTCGCAGTGTGAACAGGTTTCCACCGGATCGTAGCGGAAGTCGATGACTAAAAGCGAGGACTGAAACCCACTGAGAAGGCCACTCTTCGTCGCGGTGTGAACAGGTTTCCGGATCGTAGCGGAAGTCAACGAGTAGAAGCGAGGACTGAAACCCGCTGAGACTTTGAAATACTAAAATATTCAGAAGTGAGGATTGGACCAAACCGATCAAGTAAGACGTAAAATGACTTCTTCTAGTTCTGTGCCGTTGCTGTTCATGACTGTACCAGATATCTTATGATGTCGACAGGAAAAGCGAACCGGTGTTTGTCATAGCCCGAATCATACTACAAGATGCAAGTACTGCCACTGCAAGCTTCAGTTCATTTTCCCTTACCTGATATCCTACTTGTGATCCATACTCATTCAGTGTTTCATATCCTACTCTTTTGGCCAATGAGATGCAAGCAATCCGCCGAGGCTGAGTGCAAGCAATCCGCGTAAAGCCAGCGTGTAAAAGGTACTGAGGAACCTACAAACATGACGGAAGTAGAAATTAAAGGGTTGGCTAAGATTTCCGGACAGCCCCATACAATTATTATGCATACGTTTCTAGTCTATTCGTATAAAATAGTATGAGATTGCTGCATGCATGATAAACTGCTGTATGAAGATTTAGGGAAATCTTATCAAGGGATGAAAAAAAGGATTCCGCCGCCTTGATTGGGTAGCTTTGCCGGTCACTAATATACATCTCAAAACCTTTTGAATTTCCTAACGTCACATGCTTGATTACTGACATTGTTGTCACTGTAGTTACGTCTGACTAGCACTGCGTGTGTTGAATTTGAATTCGCACCCATGAATATTTGACAGCTGAAACACTGAGGACCAAACGTACGCTAGACATACCTCAACACAGTCTTTATTCACCGCACTTTATGCGTTATAATCTCCAAAATTTTGTTCCCTATTGATATTTCTATTTCTCGTTCGGAAAATAGACTGAAATGACTGTGGTCTTATCTTATTTGTGTTATTTCCTCTCGAAGAGAATTTTAGTGATCAGAAGGATTTTTTATTATATATGTACTGAGATTTACCCATTGAAAAGGCGCGAAATAAATTTGGTTCACAAGCTGGTCTAAGAACCCGACAGCCAATCAAATGGTGCGTATTGCTTTTTCGACGTGTGAGGAAAACGATACGTCCAATCAGGTGCTGCGTATCATGTTTTTTGACGTGTGAGCCGTAACAAGGTGATTTTCATTCAGCTGGCGGCATTTCACTTTGTTAAAGAAATCTTTCGCAAGTGTTGAAGCTTAAAAACATGAACGAGAAAAGGTTTGTTGATCACGATACTTCAGTCGAGGATTACGTGGAAAGTCTCGAAAACAGGAATACGAAAGAGAAAACGAAACGAGATGTGAAATTGCTGGAAACGTTTTTGAGAAACGAAAAGAACGACGAGCGAGAAGTGCAAGACATAGGGCCCGCAGAATTAAACAAGCACCTTGCGGAGTTTATTCGTTCTGTGAGACGTAAAGACGGAGAGGATTATGAGCCTTCAAGTTTAAGATGCCTTGTTTCAAGTATTGAAAGACATTTGAAGAAAAATAATTATACTAAGAGTATCATTAACGATAAAGAATTTGAATTGTTTAGAAAGTGTTTACAGGCTAAACAAAAAGAGCTGAAGAAAGCAGGCCGAGGCAACAAGGACAAAGCCGCTGTGGCTATCACGGACGAAGAAGTCGATATACTTCACGAAAACAATTTGCTTGGAGTTTGTTCTGCTGAATCATTGTTGAATACTGTTTGGCTGAACAACACCATTCATTTTGGAATGCGTGGTTGTCAAGAGCATAGGGATTTGTGCTGGGGAGATGTAAAGCTTTGTAAGGACGCACAAGGTAACGACTATCTAGTTTACAATGAAAGACAGACAAAAACAAGGTCTGGAGTAGACGCCTCAAACGTTCGAAAAGTTTCCCCGAAAATGTTTTCAACTGGTGATGAACGAGATCCTGTCGTGGCGTACAAAATTTACCGTGAAAAGCGACCGGAAAACATGATGGCTGACGATTCGCCATTCTACTTGGGAATAAACCACACGAAAACAGACGGCTCCAAAAAACACTGGTTCAAGTCGGCACCTATGGGTGTAAATAAATTAAACACTTTGATGAAAACAATGGCTTCAAAAGCAAACATCAACAACGAGCGACTCACGAACCATAGTGCTCGTAAACACATGATTCAAAAACTTAATGACAGTGAAATTCCGCCAACGCATATAATGCAGTTAAGTGGGCACAAGAACGTGCAAAGCATAACAAACTATAGTAGCTTGAACCTAAATCAACAAAAAAACATATCAGGCATCTTAAGCCGAGCATCGTCGCAAACACAAGTAACTACTGCAACTAATGAAACTGCTGCTGCGAGCACTTGCACTAGTAAAACCCCGATGAGTTTTTTTGATGGAGCTGTAATAAGTGGAGGACAATTTACGATTTCCATTAATGCGCTTACTACCTCGCCGACCATTCAAACCAGGAGTTCCGTCACCGAAACCACCGAAAAAAGGTGGAAGAGAATCCGAATTGAGGAGTCCGACTCGGATTAAAGTTTAGAAATAATATTTTAACATTATTTGCTTGCTGTAATGTTAAATTTCTGGCAGAAATTCAAGTTTATGTTATAATCCTTGCATGAGTTTTTAACTTGAATTCATGTAACAGAGTTTTGTCTTGGTCTGTCATTAAAGACGATAAACAAGAATTAAAATCTCAGTATATATATAATAAACACAATACCACATGGAAAGTGCTTTGTACGGTATTTACGCACTCGTTGTTTTTGTATCAGAAATCTCACTCGTTCGCTGCGCTCACTCGTTCGATTTCTGATACGTCAACAACTTGTGCGTAAATACCGTACGCCCGCACTTTCCATGAAGTATTCTCTATGTTTTGGATGGTTAACAAGATTAATATCTAATTTTGGCGCCGGATTACATTCTGATTCACTCACCCGGGCAGTGATTTGTTACGAATTTGGTTGAGGAATAACTCCAAGTACAAGACTAAAGACTTTTTATGACTCGTACTTTAATTTGAAGAGTACACGTAGATTATACACATGATAAATTAAGCGACAGTTTCCTGAATCGTCAGTATATGCTTTGGAAAGAATTCACTGTATTCGATTCATCGCAAGACGTATGTTGCTTTCAGAATTTACTAGTCTTATGATGTCTTACTTGCTCTCAGGCTTCTTCACAGTTTATACAATAGTAACATAGTGATTCATAAGGACTCTTCATCGAAAATAGGTTTCATAATTCCCTCAGCAAGTTTAATTATTTTGTAAAAGAAACATTTAAACATAATGGTTTCAAATTGTATAAAAACGTCGAGGATGTAGAAAAAAAACTTGATTTAGGAAATTATCATGAACTAGACTTTTCTTTTTCTTCGTGTAACATTTTGTTTGATCTGATTAGCAATTTGATAACTTGAGTCGTACTACTATGTATCAAAATGATAATATTGCTTATTATTAGGACTTGTTTATGAGTCCGCTCAGAATGGATTATACGAATGCGTCGCTTTCTGAATTTACCTTTTCCCCTTACCTTTCGTTTTAACAGTCAGGCTTTTGTTTTTACATTTTATACAATAATAATAATCTTTATATCGCTTCACAAGCTCATTATTTTCTTTTCTAAACGTTTGACGTAAATATTTGAACATGGTTTAGTAACTGCATACGTAATCAAACAGTATTTGTATGCATTAACTATCAAGAAAAAACGACTTGTTCTGTTAATTTACACAAATTCGATTTGGGACCAAATGTCTGACACAACCGAAAAGTTGTTAGTCTAATAGAGGACACAATATTCGTCAACATGTTCGATCTGAATTTCATATGGTTTTATCTGTGTTTCGTGGCTGTTCCTCAAATTGCTTGGTCTGCCCGAGTCAACACAACAGCTTCGGATGGGAAAGTGATTATTTCTGGGAATCATAACGAAGTTGTTGTATCTACAGATAGAGATAATAAGATTGCACTCGCTAAGATAAAAAGCAGTTTGGAGTCAGTTAAGAAATCGAACGAAGAGCTCTTCTCTCGGCTTCAGAACATCTCTCAGAGGTTGTCAGCTCAGGAAAGTCGAAGTATGAATCTTTCGAGTCTGGAAACAAAAATCACCGTCGAGCGGGCAACGTATATTGTTTTGATTAAACAGGTTTTACAATAGGGTGATTTTTTGCCGATTTTTTTAGTTAGTTCTAGCAGTGAAATTAGCATTAATTTTAGATCCCAAGCTTTTAAGTTACAATATTAAGAGTAAACCCTTGTCCGCATTTATAAACCCTTTAGACCCTTCAGTGAAGACCATGTAAGACCGCTTTATTGGCTTTCTTGTCAATAAGTCTCGCGTCATCCTTCAACAAGCTGGAACAATTTATTTGTTCTTTTTGTAGCAAACAACTACGCTTTGCATTTCACCCGCAAAAGCACCAGTGACTATGTCACGACAATCGGCATGCCAAGCCTAAAGGCCGTCTCAGTTTGCCTTTGGATGAAGTCTTCAGATAAAGGAAATGGAGGAACACCGTTGAGCTACGCAGTCTCAGAATCAAAACACTACAATGAATTGGTCTTTATGGACTACAGAAAGTTCACGTTTTGGATAGGAAACGATGTAAGGTACAAATATCCCTAAACACGACTTTAAACCGATAAACATCATTCTCCCAGGAAGCCATAAATGCATCAGGCGTCCGTAACTAGGTTAGAGTCGACATATCCTTACGGTGGTCCTATAAGAGATACGCTTTACGAAAATTACATGTAGTTTTTAAGAGTGAATGTACTATTAAATGACTACGGACTACAAGACAATTAACAATAATAAAAGTGTAAGAGGGAGGTAAATCAACTTTTCAACTTCTTTAGAAATACAGCTGTATCCGCCAACGATGGGCAATGGCACCAAATCTGCGCCACATGGGAGAACAGTGCTGGATCATGGAAGATGTATAAAGATGGAAAGGTGGCAGCTTCTGGAAACGGTTTTAAGACAGGTATGCTTGCCCTCTGTCACTAACGTGGCACTGAACGATTAAGAGTGGATAGCGTTGAGCTACATCAGTTCTGACTCTCAGAAAAAAACTTATAGTGTGGAAGTAAAATTACTGTTTGTTTTCGCTCTAGTAATACTAAATAAAAAAACTAAGTTAGCTGCAAGGAGAAAAATTAAAAAATTTCTTTCTAATATTTAAATTTCCAGGTCATGTGATACGTGGTGGTGGGGTGCTTATACTTGGTCAAGATCAAGATTCACTGGGAGGATCCTTTGATGCCAATCAGTGCTTCATTGGTGAATTGACAGGTGTCAACATCTGGAATCACGTGATCAATGAGCAAGAGATCAACCACATGTCCAAGTCTTGTCTGAGAGGGGTGGGGAACGTATTCCAGTGGAGTGACTTCAAGTCTCACGTGAAAGGCTCAGTGCGTTCGATTAAACCGTCATGTTAGCGTCAGGCACGAGTCTACGTGCTTTAAACCCCTGAAAAAAGTAGTTTTGTAACCAGTATGGACAAGAGCCATACTTAAGACCCTTGGTATGGAGTATCAAGCATTAAAAAAAAAATACAAAAACAACTTACTGATGTTTTTTGCGTGTCTTTAATTATACAACTTTTTTCTCGCTTTCACAATCTTATGCATGTTAATTTTTTTTAATATAAATTAGTCGTTGTGTTAACCTCTTATAGTTTACTGGGGATGATATCCTATGCTACTACCTCTTTAGCACTACATTCACACGGTACTAGTTATTTAGTATGTAGTTGAGTCTGTAGGCGAAATCCTATGGTGTAATCATTCAAATGACTCTCCCGAAACGGGGGACAAACGCGGCCAAGGAAAACTTCCCGTTCTAATTCAAATTCCCCCTTGACATTAATGGTTTTGTATTCACTGCATGTAGCGTTCCTTTCTCCGACGTAATCGAGCCTGTGATTTGAGTTTAATCAATTAGGTTCGGTATTAAGAAAGAACAAATGGAGCAAAATCAAGCTCACAGCAAAATAGAATTCACTCGAATGCTTGTGTTCCATTATGTCATGTCTGTTATCAGACTCAAAATTTTGATTGTTCTTGTTCATTTGGTTTAAGCCGGGCTGCTTCAACCGGACGTCGAAGTTTTTTCAAGTCTTGTGGCTTGTTTGCGTTTCCGGGGTCTTGAATCTTGCTCCCCTTTTCGCCCAGAATAAGCCAAATTAAGGCTCCCCAACAACCTACTTGGGCATTTCTTAAAACAATGGGCAACCAAAGAACTTCGTATGACAAATACGGTTTTTGAACAAGAAGTTTGGAAATGTCTTCTTTTATGTTTTAAAACACCAGATCAACCACCTTTGCTAGTTATCAAACATGCTCTCTGAACGCTTGTGAACGTTCGTTAGAGAATCTCCTGATGACCAGTGTACGATTATCAACATTGTTGCCAGTGATTGTATCTGTTCGGATGTTTTTAAGGGTCTTTAAGGGAACTTAAGTCCTTTATGTGGCTTTTTCATTTTGTCGAAAAGTGCTACATCAGCAACCGGGGCCGTTCAAGATGATGAGGAAGTTTTGTCTTTATGCCAAAATTTCAAGAAACCTTGAAAACAGCATGGAAGACGTATAAAGATGGAAAGGTAGCAGCTTCTGGAAAAGGCATCAATACAGGTATTTTTCTCCCCTGCGACTAGGTGGGCATTTGACGGAGAAGTGTAAATACTTTGATAAAATTTTGGTAAAATAACTAGAAACCTCAACAGCAATGATGATAGAAGTGCGTAAGGAGAATATCCTGATGACCAGTGTACGATTATCAACATTGTTGCCAGTGATTGTATCTGTTCGGATGTCTTTAAGAGAACTTTAGTCTTTTATGTGGCTTTTACGTTTTGTCGAAAAGTGTCACAACAGCGACCATGATGGGTCCGGTCAAGATCATGGGGATAGTTTTGTCTTTATACCGAAAAATCAAGGAACCTTTCCAAAAATTAATTGTAATATCTGTAAATCGAAGGTAAGTAAGTAGAAAAACTCCAAATATCTTAGACGGAAGGAACGGTTAACCAGAAATGTTTGGGCCCTTTTTTAACTTTAGAAATTTCTAGGCATTATAATTTGCTCCTTCGAACGGTAATTTTACCGAAGAAAGTCGTTCGGTACCCCTGGCTGATGTCTGTGATGTTGTGTATTACGCTTGGTTAGCTCTGTGTTTAATTTGAATTCGCTTCCATGAACATTTGACAGCTGACAGAAGGTTAAACGTACATCAACATATTCTATATTGTTGTTCATATTTTCCGGCAATCACCAGTTTTAACTAACAGTAAAATATGTGTTGATAGCCAATAAATCCTTTCAAAATGTTGCATATACGGTAAAACGACGTGTTTGAGAATGTGCCTATATTGAAAATAATTAGACTTCGATACTCAAGACATACATCTGAATATACCAGTCTTATCGTTTGTTATTTGCTCGTTGCTAGTCTTGTTCATCAAAGTCTATGCAATGATGACATTTCGATAGTGATATATAACATGAGCTCTTAAAAGAGGTTTAATAATTTTCTTCAACTTTTGAAACACAAATATTTACACACGGTCTAGTTCAAATTGTACAAGTTGACGATCAAGAAAAAAAGACTTGCTCTGTTAATTTATACACTGCACATATGTACTTTGAAATTAGCAAAGGTCTGTGTCACGTAAAAGTTCTTAGTATTACACAAAGCAGTTTCCTTCGCCAACATGTTCGATCCAAATTTGATTTCGTTTTATCTGTGTTTGGTGGCCGTACCTCAAATTGCTTGGTGTGCCCGTGTCAACACAACAGCCTCGGGTGGGAAGGTGATTATTTCTGGGAATCATAACGAAGTCGTTGTATCCACTGATCGAGATAATAAGATTTCGCTCGCTAAGATAAAAAGCAGTTTGGAGTCAGTTAAGAAATCGAACTCAGAGCTCTTCTCTCAGGTTCAGGACATCTCTCAGAGATTGTCGGCTCTGGAAAGTCAAGGTACAAATTTTTGGAGTCCGTTGGCGAATTAATGCTTACTTAGTCAGCAATAGCTTCCGCGTAATAGTGTTTGTTCAAACGAATTTTACGATAAGACTTTTTTCTGGTCGAATTTCATTTTTGTGAATTTATCATTCAGTTTAGAACCTGAACAGTATAATAAATGTTTACAGTATAATTAGAGTTGATCCGCCATCTTGTGTGCAGTTGTCCTATTACTAGCAGTCCGAGAACATAACAATTAGAAAATAATTAATCACTTTCGTATTTACAATGTAAAACGCATTCATTGAAGAGTGCTTTTTGATTTTTTGTCAATAAGTCTCAAGCTTGTTCATTTCAATTGTTCTTTTAGCCACGAACAACTATGCTTTACAATTTACCCGCAAAGGAACAAGTGACTATGTTATCAAACGCGGCATGCCAAGCCTCAAGGCAGTCACAGTTTGCCTTTGGATGAAGTCTTCAGATAAAGGAAATGAAGGAACACCGTTGAGCTACACAGTCTCAAAATCAAAAGACAATGAAGTGCTCTTTATGGACTACAGAAAGTTCAGGTTTTGGATAGGAACCGAAGAAAGGTACAAATATCCCTAAACACAACTTTAAACAGATATGTATAATCATTCACACAGGAAGCCATAACTGCATACGTCTGTAAATACTAGGTTACTGTCGACATACCCTTACGGTGGTCCTATAAGAGATACGCTTCACAAGAAATGGCTAAATTACGTGTAGTTTTTAAGAGTGAATGTACTATTAAACGACTACGGACTACAAGACAATTAACAATAATAAGAGTGTAAGAGGGAGGTAAATCAGATTTTCAACTTCTTTAGAAAAACAGCTGTATCCGCTAACGATGGGCAATGGCACCAAATCTGCGCCACATGGGAGAACAGTGCTGGATCATGGAAGATGTATAAAGATGGAAAGGTGGCAGCTTCTGGAAAAGGTTTTAAGACAGGTATGCTTGCCCTCTGTGACTAACGTGGCCCTGCACGATTAAGAGTGGATAGCGTTGAGCTACATCAGTTCTGACTCTCAGAAAAAAATCTTTAGTGTGGAAGTAAAATTACTGTTTGTTTTCGCTCTAGTAATACTGAATAAAAAAAACTAAGTTAGCTGTAAGGAAAAAAATTAAAAACCTTCTTTCTAATATTTAAATTTCCAGGTCATGTGATTCGTGGTGGTGGGGTGCTTATACTTGGTCAAGAACAAGATTCACTGGGAGGATCCTTTGACGCCAATCAGTGCTTCATTGGTGAATTGACAGGTGTCAACATCTGGAATAAGGTGATCAATGAGCAACAGATCAACCACATGTCCAAGTCTTGTCTGAGAGGGGTGGGGAACGTATTCCAGTGGAGTGACTTCAAGTTTCACGTGAAAGGCTCAGTGCGTTCGATTAAACCGTCATGTTAGCGTCAGGCACGAGTCTACGTGCTTTAAACTCCGGAAAAAAGTAGTTTTGTAACCAGTATGGACAAGAGCCATACTTAAGACTCTTGGTAGGGAGTATCAAGCATTAAAAAAAGTACAAAAACAACTTACTGATGTTTTTTGCGTGTCTTAAATCATACAACTTATTTCACGTTTTCGCAATCTGTCTAACTCTTGAGTCTGTAGACGAAATCCTGTGGTGTGATCATTCAAATGACGCTCCCGAAACGGGGAACAAACGCAGCCTAGGAAAACTTCCCGTTCTAATTCAAATTCCCCCATGAAATTGATGGTTTTGTATTCACTGCATGTACCGTTCCTTTCTCCGACGTAATCGAGCCTGTGATTTGAGTTAAATCAATTAGGTTTGGTATTGAGAAAGAACAAATGGAGCAAAATCGAGCTCACAACAAAATAGAATTGATTCGAATGCTTGTGTTCCATTATGTCATGTCTGTTATCAGACTGTAATTTTGATTGTTCCTGTTCATTTGGATCAAGCCGGTCTGCTTCAACTGGATGTCGATTTTTTTTCAAGTCTTGTGGCTTGTTTGCGTTTCCGGGGTCTTGAATCTTGCTCCCCTTTTCGCCCAGAATAAGCCAAATTAAGGCTCCCCAACAACCTACTTGGGCATTTCTTAAAACAATGGGCAACCAAAGAATTTCGTATGAAAAATACGGTTTTTGAACAAGAAGTTTGGAAATGTCTTATCATATGTTTTAAAACACCAGATCAAGCACCTTTGCTAGTTATCAAACATGCTCTCTGAACGCTTGTGAACGTTCGTTAGAGAATCTCCTGATGACCAGTGTACGATTATCAACATTGTTGCCAGTGATTGTATCTGTTCGGATGTCTTTAAGGGAACTTTAGTCCTTTATGTGGCTTTTTCGTTTTGTCGAAAAGTGCTATATCAGCGACCGGGGCCGTTCAAGATCATGGGGAAGTTTTGTCTTTATGCCGAAATTTCAAGAAACCTTGAAAACAGCATGGAAGACGTATAAAGATGGAAAGGTAGCAGCTTCTGGAAAAGGCATCAATACAGGTATTTTTCTCCCCTGCGACTAGGTGGGCATTTGACGGAGAAGTGTAAATACTTTGATAAAATTTTGGTAAAAAACTAGAAAACTCAACAGCAATGATGATAGAGGTGCGTAAGGAGAATGTCCTGATGACCAGTTTACGATTGTCAAAATTGTTGCCAGTGATTGTATCTCTTCGGTTGTCTTCAAGAGAACTTTAGTCTTTATGTGGCTTTTACGTTTTGTCGAAAAGTGTCACAACAGCGACCGTGATGGGTCAAGATCATGGGGAAAGTTTTGTCTTTATACCGAAAATTCAAGGAACCTTTCCAAAAGATGATTGTAATACCTTAGTATACCTTGGTAATAGGATGTGAAAAACAGGAACCTCCGTAAATCGAAGGTAAGTAAGTAGAAAAACTCCAAATATCTTAGACGGAAGGAACGGTTAACCAGAAATGTTTGGGCCCTTTTCTAACTTTAGAAATTTCTAGGCATTATAATTTGCTCCTTCGAACGGTAATTTTACCGAAAAAAGTCGTTCGGTACCCCTGGCTGATGTCTGTGATGTTGTGTATTACGCTTGGTTAGCTCTGTGTTTAATTTGAATTCGCTTCCATGAACATTTGACAGCTGACAGAAGGTTAAACGTACATCAACATATTCTATATTGTTGTTCATATTTTCCGGCAATCGCCAGTTTTAACTAACAGTGAAATATGTGTTGATAGCCGATAAATTCTTTCAAAATGTTGCATATACGGTAAAACAACGTGTTTGCGAATGTGCCTAAGACATACGTCAGAATGTACCAGTCTTATCGTTTGTTATTTGCTCTTAGCTAGTCTTGTTCAAAAAGTCTATTCAATAATGACATTTCGATAGTGATATATAACATGAGCTCTTAATAGAGGTTTTAATTAATAGTTTTCTTCAACTTTTGAAACACAAATATTTACACACGGTCTAGTTCAAATTGTACAAGTTGACGATCAAGAAAAAAAGACTTGCTCTGTTAATTTATACACTGCACATATGTACTTTGAAATTAGCAAAGGTCTGTATCACGCAAAAGTTCTTAGTATTACACAAAGCAGTTTTCTTCGCCAACATGTTCGATCCAAATTTGATTTCGTTTTATCTGTATTTGGTGGCCGTACCTCAAATTGCTTGGTCTGTCAACACAACAGCCTCGGGTGGGAAGGTGATCATTTCTGGGAATCATAACGAAGTCGTTGTATCCACTGATCGAGATAGTAGGATTTCGCTCGCTAAGATAAAAAGTGGTTTGGAGTCAGTTAAAAAATCGAACGCAGAGCTCTTCTCTCAGGTTCAGGACATCTCTCAGAGATTGTCGGCTCTGGAAAGTCAAGGTACAAATTTTTGGAGTCAGTTGGCGAATTAATGCTTACTCAGTCAGCAATAGCTTCCGCGTAATAGTGTTTGTTCAAACGAATTTTACGATAAGACTTTTTTCCGGTCGAATTTCCTTTTTGTGAATTTACTATTCAGTTTAGAACCTAAACAGTATAATTAATGTTTACAGTATAATTAGAGTTGATCCGCCATCTTGTGTGCAGTTTTCCTATTGCTAGCAGTCCGAGAACATAACAATTAGAAAATAATTAATCACTTCGTATTTACAATTGTAAAACGCATTCAGTGAAGAGCGCTCTTTGATTTTTTGTCAATAAGTCTCAAGCTTGTTCATTTCAATTGTTCTTTTAGCTACGAACGTTTACGCTTTACAATTTACCCGCAAAGGAACAAGTGACTATGTTGTCACACGCGGCATGCCAAGCCTCAAGGCAGTCACAGTTTGTCTTTGGATGAAATCTTCGGATAAGGGGAACGATGGAGTACCGTTAAGCTACGCAGTGTCCGGATGATACGATGAACTGCTCCTGTACAACTACAAAAAGTTTCATTTTGGAGTAGGAAAAAACGGCAGGTAAACAAACAAACTCAGTATTGTAGAAATTTCGCTTATCATGGACCTTTAAGAAAATATGTAGGCTCCGGTTGTTCAAAAAGCAGTGTCGGATGAAATGCTAAGTGCAGAAGATACATGAGTGTTATGAACACCAATTTTGCTCTTCAACTTTAAACAAGAATGTAAAAAAGAAAAGAGACAAAATAATGAAATCTATTGTAATCATTTCATTACATTTAGACAAACAGCTGTATCGGCAAACGATGGCCGATGGCACCACATCTGCGTAACATGGGAAAACAGCGCTGGATCATGGAAGATGTATAAAGATGGAAAGGTGGCAGCTTCTGGAAAAGGCATCAGTACAGGTATTTTTCTCCCCTGCGACTAGGTGGGCACTTGACGAAGAAGTGTAAATACTTACATAAAAGTTTGGTAAAATAACTAGAAAACTCAACAGCAATGATGATAGAAGTGCCTCAGGACGTGGAATTTTTTTTTTTTTTGCTCACAAAAGAGAAAAATATTGAATAGGGTCACTGAATTACGAAGCACAGAAAAGTATTAAAGAAGTTGATTTCTAATTCTTCAATTTCAAGGTCATGTGATTCGTGGTGGTGGGGTGCTTATACTTGGTCAAGAACAAGATTCACTGGGAGGATCCTTTGACGCCAATCAGTGTTTCATTGGTGAATTGACGGGTGTCAACATCTGGAATCACGTGATCAATGAGCAACAGATCAACCACATGACCAAGTCCTGTCTGAGAGGGGTGGGGAACGTATTCCAGTGGAGTGACTTCAAATCTCACGTGAAAGGCTCAGTGCGTTCGATTAAACCGTCATGTTAGCGTCAAGAACGAGTCTACATGCCTTAAACTCCGGAAAAAGTAGTTTTGAAACCACTATGGACAAGAGCTATACTTAAGGCTCTTAGTATGTAGCATCAAGCATTAAAAAAGAAAAAAAAACTTCCTTATGTTTTTATGTGTCTTAAATCATACAACTTATTTCACGTTTTCGCAATCTGTCTACACTGTATGTACTTAAGAATGTTATTTTTTAATATAAATTAGCCGTTGTGTTAACCTTTTCATTTTCAAAGTCAATAGTACAGTTTACTGGGGATGATATCCTATGGTACTACCTCTTCAGCAGCACTTTCACATGGTTATATTTATTTAGAATTTAACTCTAACTTTTGCCGAGTCTGTAGACAAAATCCTATGGTGTTACCATTCAAATGAAACCTCTTCAGCAGTACTTTCACATGGTACTATTCATTTAGAATTTAACTCTAACTTTTCAGTATGTAGACGAAATCCTATGGTGTGATCATTCAACTGTCTCCCGAAACGGGGAACAAACGCGGCCAAGAAAACTTCCCGTTCTAATCTAAATTCACCCTTGAAATTGATGGTTTTGTATTCACTGCATGTACCATTCTTTTCTCCGACGTAATCGAGCCTATGATTTGAGTTTAATCAATTAGGTTCAGTCTTGAGAAAAGATAAATGGAGCAAAATCGAGCTCACAACAAAAAAGATTTCAATCGAATGCTTGTGTTCCATTACACTATGTCTGAGTCAGATTGAAATTTTGTACGTGTTCATTTGAATTACGCCGGGCTGCTTCAACCGGATGTCGATTTTTTCCAAAATCCTGTGGCTTTTTTGCGTTTCGGGGTCTTGAATCTTGCTCCCCTTTTCGCTCGGAATAAGCCAAATAAAGGATCCCTAACAACCTACTGGGGCCCTTCTTGAAACAATGGGCAACCAAAGAACTTCGTATGACAAATACGGTTTTTGAACAAGAAATTTGGGAATGTCTTATTATGTTTTAAAACACCAGATCAAGCACCTTTGCTAGTTATTAAACATGCTCTCTGAACGCTTTTGAATGTTCGTTAGAGAATCTCCTGATGATCAGTGTACGATTATCAACATCGTTGCCAGTGATTGATCACAGGGACACCCAACGACCGCGAATGTTTCCAAATACGTCAAAAGTGCCTAAGCCTGCTACACAGCCGTTTTTGCGTGACGACACTAAAAGCGGCTGTGTGGCAGACTAAAAGTGCCTCAAATAGTTTTCTCTATGCTTTATAACCAGTTTTGTCAATTTCGAGCGGCTCTAAAAACTATGTATCTGATCGGATGTCTTTAAGAGAACTTTGGTCCTTTAGGTGGCTTTTTCGTTTTGTTGAAAAGTGTTACATCAGCGACTGTGTTGGGTCCGGTCAAGAGTAGGCGTACTCTCATGGGGGAAGTTTTGTCTTTATACCGAAATTTCAAGGAAACCTTTGCAAAAAAAATTGTAATATCTTGGTGATAGAGTATGAAAAACAGAAACCTCCGTAAATCGTAGGTAAGTCAGTAGAAAACTCCGAATATCTTAGACGAAAGCAACGGTTAACCGGAAAGTTTTAGGTCCTTTTCGAACTTTAGAAATTTCTGGGCAATATAATTTGCTCCTTCTGAAGGTAATTTTACTGAAAAAGCTGTTTGGTGCCCCTAACTGATGTCTGTAATGTTGTGTCATACGCTTGGTTAGCTCAGTCTGTGTTTAATTTGAATTCGCTTCCATGAACATTTTAATGTCAAATTAATATTTGACAGCTGACAGAAGGTTAACTGTACATCAACATATTCTGTATTGTTGTTCATATTTTCTGGCAATCGTTTCTTGTTAAACTGCAGCAAAATATGTGTTGATAGCCAATAAATCCTTCTAAACTGTTGCATATACGGTAAAACGACGTGTTTGCGAATGTGTATATTTAAAATAAATAGACTACAATACTCAAAACATACGTCTGAGTTTACCAGTCTTACCGTTTGTAATTCGCTCTTAGTCGTGTTCAAAGAGTCTATATGCAATAATGACATTTAAGTAGATTACAAATATGAGCTCTTTAAAGAGATTTCATAATTGTTTCAAGTTTTGAAATACAAATATTTAAACACGGTCTAGTTCAAATTGTTTATGTCGACGATCAAGAAAAAAGACTTCCTGTGTTAATTTATACACAAAGGTCTTTACCGTAAAGTTCCGAAAGTAATTAACGACCTTCGTTGCTTTCGGATTTAGCAGCCTTTCCCTATCGCTTCTTTCGGAGGGTCGCTACATTCAGACGGTCGCTACTTTCGGGTAGCTAAAACGTGTATCGTTCATGGGCCGTGGGAAGTTACGAAAATAATGTCGCGACAATAGTGAAAACATCCACAATTTTTATTTGGAGAAACTCATCTCATGTTATTGCTTTTTAAATGAATATTCAAATAATTGTTTCATTATCTTGTGGGTATTCACAGACGAAAGGAAGACTTTTTGAGTTCCATAAAGGAATGTCAAAGATCATTATAGCCCTTAAAAAATATATCTATAATTTCCGTTATTTCCAGCAAGAAGAGAAATCACTTTCGAAGTCGCTACTTTCGGAGGGTCGCAACTTTTGGAATTTGCTAACACCTGAAAAATTTTATCGCTACTTTCGAAGGGCCACTACTTCCGGGGGGTCGTTACTTTAGGAAGTTTAGGGTATCACGCCAAAGTAAAGCAGTTCACCTCGCCGACATGTTCGATCCAAATTTGATTTTGTTTTATCTGTGTTTCGTGACTGTAACTGAAATTGCTTGGTCTGCCCGAGTCAACACAACAGCCTCGGATGGGAAAGTGATTATTTCTGGAGATTAGAGCGGTTTTCATTTGAGTGTCGAAAAGTAATTGGTTTTGCACTTTCTACACGATGCGATTGGCTTAAAAGATTCGCGCCACCTTTTCATCCAATCAGAAGTAAAACCAAAGCCAATTGTGACGACGCTTTGCGTCAGCCACATGTAATTACTTCGAGTTTTGATTGGTTCAATGTATTGTCTGTGTCCTATGTGATTGGTCAGAGTAATTACTTTGGTTTTGGTTTTACGACACTCAAACGAAAACCACTCTATAACGAAGTTGTTGTATCCACTGATGGAGCTAATAAGATTGCGCTGGCTAAGACAAAAAGCAGTTTGGAGTCAGTTAAGAAATCGAACGCAGAGCTCTTTTCTCGGATTCAGGCGATTTCCCAGAGGTTGTCGGTTCTGGAAAGTCAAGGTACAAATTTTTGGAGTCTGTAGACGAATTAACGCTATAAACCCAGTCCGCAATAACTTCCGCGTTGTTTAAACACTTACGATAAGAATTTTCTCCTCTCGAATTTCTTTTTTGGTCAGTCCTGGTAATTCATGTAATTGTCATTTAGTGAAGAAAACTTTTGGATATTTTCTCAATAAGTTTTAAGCTCGTTCTTTTCACTGAATTGCTCTTTCAACAGAAAACGCCGACTACGCTCTGCAATTTACCCGCAAAGGGACAAGTGACTATGTCATCAAACGCGGCATGCCAAGCCTCAAGGCAGTCACAGTTTGTTTCTGGATGAAATCTTCGGATAAGGGGAATGAAGGAACAGTGCTGAGCTACGCAGCCTCAGGATCAAAAAAGGGCAATGAACTGCTCCTCCACAATTATAGACAGTTTTATTTGGCGATCGGAAGTAGCCACAGGTACCACTGTCTTATGATAGGCTAGATTGGCAGTCAACAAACAGGCTACGGCTATGGAAAACTGATTATAGCTAATTGTGGACCCTTAACGTAAATTTTAGCAAGCTCCTCTGCCAGATGAAAATGCCAAGTGCAGAAAATGAGTCAAGGAAACCAATCTTGCTCTCCATCTTTAATAAAGAATGTAAAAAGAGACGAAAATAATGAAATTCATTTCAATGATTTAATATTTCATTAGACAAACAGCTGTATCGGCAAACGATGGCCAATGGCACCACATCTGCTTAACATGGGAGAACGGCGCTGGATCATGGAAGATGTATAAAGATGGAAAGGTGGCAGCTTCTGGAAAAGGCTTCAAGAGAGGTATTTTTTTCCTTCTGCGACTATAGCGGCGGACTCGTCAAGGAGAAGTGTGAATACTATGAATAACACCAACTCTCTAAAGCCAGAGTAACGTAAATGTAAAATAACTTGAAAACTTAACAGTATGATGACAAAAGCGCCTCATGACATGGATGGCGTGTAAAATTTGTTTGTTTTCGCTCAAAAAATAGAATAGGGCCAATGAATTGCGGAGCAAAGAAACACGTGCGATCAATAGCGCTGCGCGCAGTTACTATTCATAGACCCGAAACTCAGACAAAAAAACTGAAATCAACATTAGCGAATTCCTCACTTTTGTATGACTTTTTCATTAAAATGTCATGTTTGTCTGTCTTTTGTCATTAAAATGAGGAAAATGACAAAACTTGCAAATCAGTCACTCTGACGTCATTCGGGCGCTAGTGTGACCACCTACCCATCCCCTAAGTCTCAACTAACACTTACTTCTCACTTAGGCCAAAATTATGACTTAGGAGAGGGGTAGGTGGTCAGTTAAACAGAAACAAACGCGTTAACGAAGTTGCTTTCTAATTCTTCAATTTCCAGGTTATGTGATTCGCAGTGGTGGGGTGCTTATACTTGGTCAAGAACAAGATTCACTGGGAGGATCCTTTGACGCCAATCAGTGCTTCATTGGTGAATTGACAGGTGTCAACATCTGGAATCACGTGATTAACGAACAAGAGATCAACCACACGACCAAGTCCTGTCTGAGTGGGGTGGGGAACGTATTCCAGTGGAGTGACTTCAAGTCTCACGTGAAAGGCTCAGTGCGTTTGATTAAACCGTCATGTTAGCGTCAAGCACGAGTCTACATAATGCCGTAAACCCCGAACAATAAGTAGGTTTGTAACCAGTATGGGGAACCGAGAAATAAAAACGAGTTTGAAAAAGAACGTACTTATACGTTTTAGGTGTCTTACAGCTTAAAACTTATTCAGGGTTCGTACTACGTTAAGCTCTTCAAATTCCAGGACTTTCCATTACTTTATCCATAACCTTAGGTTTAGCTGTCACTTTTACAAATTTTTGAAGCTTTTGTGTTTCAGGATATTTTTGACCTTAAACAGTTCAACAGACACCAACTCCGGTGTCCACCTAAATGTGTGCCATTTAATCACTGTTCAATCATTCCTCTCTATCTTACATTGTCCTTGCTTTGTCTTCTGCAGTAACTAATCTACCAAACAAAACTTAAAATTTCAAGGACAGACAATTAAATTCCATGACTTCCCAGGTCGTGGAAAATAAAATTCTTAAATTCCATGACTTTCCAGGTTTTCCATGACCCGTGCGAAGCCTGTTATTTAACGCTTTTACAGTTTGTTACGTACTTTTTCATCTTCTTCAGCCTTTGTGAACCTTCTCATTTTGAAAGTCAATATAAGACAGTATACTGTGGACAAAATCCTAACATACATGCTATAAACTAAAAAAGTGTAGTTTGTAACCAGTATGGAGTACTAAGCATCAAAAAGCAAAAATATCAAAAATGTTGTAGCACTATTTAATAACGCGACAAAATGAGAAAATCTTCATGTTAATACGGTGATTGTTATATGTGTATTTGACCCTGAATACCTCACAATCTCCTGGTTGAGCCTCGTGCACCAAAAGTTTTCAACCCTTCTAAGTCAAGATGGATGATTTGTATTTATCCCAAAATTATGCGCTCAATAGACCTTATTCACGAGACTCGCCATCCTTGCAGGCGCTTAGAATGGAGGGATTGATGGGATAAATGTAATGTCACGTGGTATCTCTAGGGGTAAACAAGTAATAAAATCTGCCCATACAAGGAATAACTATCGAACTTGTTTAATCTAGACAATAGAAAATGAACAACTCAGAATGCAGTTGTTGACCGTAGATTTCTTTACAGCAAGGAATTGTATGATCAAAAACTTGTTGAAACTCGAACTTTAAATGTTGTACATCGAGACACAGACTTGCCCACAAGTTGAGTTCTTTTTTTTTTTTTTTCATGAGCACTAAGCATTAGCGGTAGATTTCTTACGTTTTCTGCCATAAAAGCGAGTGAGAGAGCGGGTGTGCTGTGGCCAACTACCAGAACAAAGACTTCGAGAAAGTCTAACAGAGAGAATAAACAAACTCCACTGCGCGCCATTACTCCTACTGCCAAATTTTATAACTTGTTTGCCCCTGGAAAAATCCAGTGACATTGCATTTACCCCATCAACCCTAAGGGGCATGCAAAGATGGCGGGTTAGTCATGAATAAGGTCTATTTTGGAGACATAGAGGATTGCCCACACATGACCTGAAGCTGTTGGACTATGAGTTCTGTAAGTAATTTTTCTTAAACCCTGTACCTGAGTTGATTTTCCACAGCCTGTATCACCAGCAATGATAATGACCTGATGGCCTCCTATTGCGTCCACAATTTGATCCTTGAAATGGCTGATGGGAAGATTTGCCTGATCCTTTTTTAACTTGACCAGTTTGGAAAACTGCAGTTATTGAGAAAATTAAATAAGTGCATACAGTAGTTTATTACAGCACAATGGTTTTCAAAAATTGATGAAAAATGACGATGAGTAAACAGCAGATCACTCAGCCTTCTTTTGTTTCTTTGAGTGAGGAGGAGAAAAGGAAACCTTTGCATAAATCCCACACAGCCTTTGAGGTCACCACAGCCTCAACTTCTAGACTAGAAAATCTTGTTTTCTCCCCTCTACAGCAACCGTTTAATTTTTTTTTTGAATTGTGAGCATCCGTCAGGGTTGTCACTACGATTTCAAGGTGCCAGGTAAACACAACAAGTAGGCGGGGAATCAAACAGCTAGGGGTTTTTTTCGTTCTATGTTTCTTTTATTTTCCTTTGAAAGTAGCCGGGACCACGTTCTTAGTAGCCCGGGGAAATCCCCGGGCCCTGCCTCTTAATGATAGCTCTGATCCATTATTGATAAACTGACGGTCCTACCTGTGACCACTGTAGTGCATGGCTATTACAATCATGTAGGCTTGGGTTCGAAACTATATCCTAGCAACATGTCGCACATTCTCAACAAAGATTTTACAGTCTTTCTCAAGTATGCCAAAATTGAGCGAGTAAAAGAAAGGTTCTGCTGGAAAGGGTTCAGATTGCTCATAACAATAGCCAATGATTGTGTACTATAAATCACAGTTGTACTACATGTAAAGACAAAAACAGTTGTACATTAACATTAATCATTATACTGTATGACACAGGTTGCTTTAGTTCTGTGCACAGCATCACAAACAAACCTGTTAAGTGCCCTCTTGTTACTTTACATGTAAGAAGAGTAATGGCTGTGCGAATAATTTTAATGACAGCTCTTGCCACGATATAATTTAACCAATGACCATTACCTTTTGTTTCTGGCAGAAATCAACATAAAACAGCAAGATGGATTTAAACTCAGAAAACTCTTCTCTTGTCAGTTCTCCTGAAGTTCTCTCACCCTTTGAGTAAACTATAAAAAAGAAAATATAAATACTGAAGCCTTCAGCGATGTAAAATTATTAAATGTTTCACACCCTACTACATGGAAAACAATCTCCTAAATAAACTTTACAAATATGTCAGTATTGAGTGGTAAGAACAGTATATAATAGTAATCACTTAATCAAAACTATAAGACTGAATATGTATAATCAGAAGCTTCCTGAAGTGGTTGAGCCCTGCAGTACCTAAGGGGGCCTTGGGGCATTTGATGAGGTTTGTTATTTAAATTTTTTGTGCCTTAGAAAGTTGGGGAAAGGCTGACTCTGGGATTTGTAACATGAGGTCAGCTGTCTTCCCTGGCCTGTGTGTAACATTAAGATGACTGCAGGGAAGAAAAAAGTTATATCTAAAATGTTACACTGAACTGCAGAAACTTTAGGTATAATGATCACAATGATCTTCATGGGAGGTATTTTGTTATAGGTCCCTTTTTTGCTCCTAGCAGTCAGGACATTATCAGAATAGCTTTGTTCCACACCCACATGGTATTGGTGTTGGTTAAGCACTTGAGCAAATCCCCAGGGTCCCTAGTGGCACATCAGATCCCTATGGTGAGTAGCTGATTGCTGTCTTGCAGTAATGGATTGATTGCAAAACTAAAGTACCTCTCTTTTTCCCTGAAGTGCTGTACTGTGTCACATCAGTAACATCCTTTGACAACAGAGCAACATTTATTTTGTACCGTCTGTCATATGACAAGGGAAGACCAAGCTTAGGAGATACCCTGTCTTTGATTCGTTCTGTCAGAGAGAAAAACGATGACTTCAAAGACAGTATACAAATAATGTGACTGACTTAAATCAAAGTGGCTAATAGAACTATCGTACATCTACCACTCACTATAAACGTGATAAAGAAGGAATGTTGTCGTGTAGATTTACCTGATCTTGGATGCTTTTCCGCGTGTCTTTGATGAAAAGATTCGTAACGTTCAAGAAAAAGCCAGAAGTCCTTATACTCTTGACTTCCCCTGTTTAAAGTAACGATATTTACTTGATTAAAAGCTCCATCTAATCTACATATACACTGAACGAGCATAATTCTACTGGTTTAACACACGCCCGTTGTGGACTGACGAACCTTTTGATCAAATCACTGTTCCTGAAGAAAAGTTCATCTAAAGTGGAGCGATGATCTTCCCATACTAAACTCCTCTTTTGTCTTTCCTTCTTAGGAGATTTTCCTCTTTCAAAGTGATGGCGGGATCTTTTCCTGCCTTTATCCATCCTACTGATCATACAACAATCGAAATCTGCTACGAAGCTGGGAAATCAAAAACATACTTCCAATCGAAACGAACCTTAATAACTGCCGCCATTTTGTTTGTTTTGTCTTACCGCTGAAATATTACAGGCTCAATGTTCAAGACAAGATGGCGGGGCTTGGAAATCTCGTGGCTGCATGTTTGATTGGTATTTAGCCCCGTTTATGTCCATGAATCATTTAAAAATTCATAATAATGAGATGAAGGTATACTTAAAAATCTCCTGCTTTGATTATTTCAGAAAAAGATGTCGATTCAGACGTGCTTTGGACATGGTCCTACCCATCCATAACACAAACTTTCCGGAAGATCATTCTGAGGAAATGCTGTCTAAAGACTGATAAAGAGGAGATCATACCCTTTTGTTTTGGCCAGTTTAACAAACAGTGGTTTTATATTTACACATCAGAGGTTAAAAATTCTGAAGCATTGAGTAAGGTTGGCTGTCATAGTTTACAATTCTTTATTCTTTATTTTTCATGGATAATCCCCATTTTCACCCCGGCCCTTCCCCGCCCCCCAATTCCTCTGGCTGATTAGCTTACCATCTAGAGTTAAGCTCCTTTAGGCGGACAACCTCGGGAAGCAAAAAACAAACAAAATAGACTGACACAAAATGAAGATGACGACTGACTGGAATGGCTATTCTTCAAGGGTTAAAGAGGGTCTTGTTAAGGCATAATGGCTCACTCAATTCCAAGTGTGCCCATCCCAACCCCGGGCATTTGTCATTTTGTTTTGGAAAAGCTGCAAATGCCCCACGGTGGGGCCGAGTGTTCATACAAAAAACTCACGGTGGGCTTTCAAATAGGGTGCAAATGCCCCAGCCAGTAAATAAGCCATAAATACCCATTTATGGGAAATCTGTAATAATTTGATCAAACTCACATGTGAAGCACCCTACGCAAATTGCTTCTAGCAGCTACACTGTATATATAATATTATTATTGCAAAAAGGATCAATTTGATATGATTAATCTCAGTGACAGAACTATAAAATATAATTTTAATAATACCTTTCATATTTTTGAAGATGTTTAATATAGTGAATGATTGAGGGTCAACTGACACATGGTTAATATAGTGAATGATTGAGGGTTAACCGAAGCACTTTACATGAGCATTTTCTCATCATGATGGAACTGTTGAATTGTCGCTTTTAACGATACAATACCCTAAGTTTGTATTAGCTGTCAAATATCACGCACAGTTTTTCCAGGCATTTCTGCCTCAACAATTCATGCCCAAAGAAAGTGTCTTTTCCCTTAATCTCTTCAAACAATTGGTTGTTTGCTTTCATGTGCGACCTGATCATGATGACAGGAAGCAATTTCAACTCACTGTTGCCTGAGAGAAAACAAAGGGCTTGAATTCTTGTTTAGCTTACTTGTGTGTCTTGGAATTTTTCAAGATTTTTATGAAATCTTAAGAGGGGTAAGAGCATTTTTTTTTCAGGAAAATGTTGAGGCCAATTTTCAACGTATTGTATCTAAGCTTTTTAAAAACCATTTTAAAACTGATACTGATTCCTACCAATTAAAACCATTCTTTGAGTGATAATTATCAATAATACAGTCGAACCTCCCGTAAGCGACCACCGAAAATGCGAAGACATAGTCAGTGGTCGCTTACAGGAGGTGGTCACTTACGAGAATCGAACCACAGGGGGTTTCTTCCAAGAAGAGGTCCGGACACATCTACTTTAAGGAAGAGAATTTATCACAGTCAATTTCCAAATTGCGACATGTGCAATGATGTTCCATGTTGTTACTAAGGTTCTTCGTATATTCAAAGGAGGATAGTTCACCCAGAGACCATAAGAGATCAGAAAACCCGTCAAGTGGTCGCTTACAAGAGGTTAAAAACAAAAGAAAATTGTTAAATCATCAGCCCCAAATAGTGGCTGCGGTCGCTTACAGGAGGTGGTCATTTACAAGAGGTTCCAACTGTAAGACTTAAACTGGGAAAGTTTTGTTGTTTCGGATAGGTGGTCGCTTAAGGGGGGTGGTTGCTTATGAGAGGTGGTCACACATGGAGGTTAGACTGTAACATACATGTGTAATTATTGGGAATTGAAATTCCACACTTGTATAAGTTCTGTTTGCAATGAGGATTTATTCTCTTCTGTTTTCTAGGTCACTCATGTAGCATTAACACTTATAGCAAAGGTGAGGGGAACACCTTTTTATTTTTTTGGCTGTCTAATAATTATTTTACAAAAAAACTCATGAATAGCAATTCATGTTTATTTTCTAATGTTATAAATCTGTAACCCTATAATAACCTGGTTATGAAGCAGGGGTTTCAATAAGCACCAACTACCGACAAAACGCATCGGCTCGTTTGCTGAGAGTATTCAGCTACTTTTTTCCCTGAAAAAGAAGCAACTACTTTTAGAAATGTCGTAAACAAAAAGCATATCATCAAATCTGAATTAAAAGATAAGTTAATAATATTATGATGTGCTTTCAAGGTCCACTGATATGTTATGCTTTAGTTACACCAGAAGCGCTTCTGGTTACACAAACGCTGTATTTCAATCAATTTTTCCCACATTTCTTTGTAGGTTTATGCAGAATTTAGTTATGTGCAAATGTACTCAATTTTGAATATTGACATTTGTTCATTGCTTGTAAGAATTGATTATGTGGCTATGAAACCTGAATGAAAGCTGGATTTTTTTTAACAAAAAACACTCTCTTCTGTTCTCAGTTTAGTCCCCGGAAGACTAAAAATCGCATTTTAGGGCTTTGAAATTCCAAAAATTTTCCCGAGGAGCACACCCCCAGATCCCCCTAGAGGAAGGGGACTAACGGCCATCTTGTTGATACAGTCGGTTACTCTATTAAAACCTGCGGGCTACATCAATTATTCATGATTGAAGTCCCTGTTAAGTATTATTTTAGTTATTTTTCATGCATTGCTACATGACATGTCTGTTATTTCAATAATAATATTGTCTGGTGAACAAAACTAGTTTTGTGAATCACCTAGACAAATTAATGTGTTGAAAGTGGATCCCGGTTAAATTTTTTTTTCTGTATCAATTTTATTGATATAATGATGTTTCCACTCTGATGAGATTAATCATATGCATGTTATTTTCCCAGTTGCCATGCTTAACCCTAATCCTTAACCATTTACATATAGGTTCTCACAACATTCCCCTGCACGTGCCCTAAATAGTCTTGCACCCACTGATTTATCATTGAAGGGGAAGCCATGCAATTGGTGATCCCTTTCCCAACACCCAACAATGAATAACAAGTCATTTTAAACTTCTAAGGAAGTAAATCTGTTACCAGTCTGTTCAGATTTGGATCTTGTTGCCTTGACTTTCCCATGGGGTTGGGAGGCAGTTCAGTTAAAGCTGTACCCAGCAAGGAAGCAGGGATGGCAAACTGTTGAGATCACTTGCTTCTATTTGCACATAATTGTCACAGTGAAAAAAAGGACGGAGCATGAAAAAAAAGCCTGTCCATAAAGTAAGGTTGTGATATATAAGAGTTGATGACTCGGGACACAGAAAAACTTACCATTGTCGGTATTAACCAGTGTCCATATTAAGCAGGTCAATTTTGGGATAATGTATGAGCTATAAAGGGTTTCATTTATCGTTGTCTCATGATTGTCACTTGATATTGATCACACCGTTTCGACCGTGTACTTAGGTCTTCATCAGGCGATAGTGTCAGTATACCGAGTAGGACTATTTGTACTACCGTGATTGTTAGTGATTGTTGTATCACACACCTTGCTCATGGTTGGTGGGCTTCGATCTAAAGCATTGTTGGCATTTTTAGAGGAGGAAACTGTTCCCTCAATGGTCTGTTGTGATAGAGGGGTTCCATTGTATCTCTCATACTTGGCCTCATCACCACCAATACATAATTTTGTTTTTTTTGTTGTTGTTGTTGTTTTTATTATTACAGTTATTATTATTATTATTATTATTATTGTTATTGTTATTGTTATTATTATTATTATTATTATTATTATTATTATTACTACTATTATTTTTTCTTATTTTTATGTATTTTTTATTTGTTTTATTATTATTATCATTATTATTATTATTATTACTACTATTTTTTTTTCTTATTTTTATGTATTTTTTATTTGTTTTTCTGAAGGACTTTTGCCCGGAAAAATACAAAGCACTTTGTAAGATCATGAGTAGCAAGTTCATAAAAACAGGAGATGCCAGTACCATGCTAGAATCATACCTGTCTGTCATAACTAAAGGTTCTTGTTCAAATGATGACAATGGCTTGTTTTTGGCGAAAGACTTTGATCCACGTATGTCATATGTGGCCTCACCTATTTCAGGCAAGTTTATGATAGAAAAATGTAGTCATTTCAAATTTAAAGGGACATGCATGCAGCATAATTTTAGAAGGTTTATTAGAAATTGCGACTTTCCCCTCACTCTCTACATCGTTGCTTGCCCAAGGAAGTGCAATGTTATTTCCATGAACTTCGTTGAACTACAGACAGTTTGATCTGCGTCTGTATGATGGGTGACTAATTATTATTCCTTGCTACCTTGCGTTTCGTTAGATGTAATCAACATATTTGGAGTGGAGACTATTTTGATATACACGGCTCTGCTGTTGAAGAAGAGAGTAGCTGTATACAGTCCAAAAATCGAGGCTCTTTTGGGCATATGTAGGTAAGGTGTGTCCGTTTTACATCCTTGGCAGTTAAAAGGAGCTGGTATGTGGAAGGTTATATGTCCCATTTGAATTCTGGGAATTTTCCAAAAAAACGCCCTTTAAAGCTAGTGGAGCCATCACTCTCAAAACGAAGTATGCACAGAAAGCGAAAAAGAAATAGAAGATATTAGACGGTGGCGCGAAGATATGAATTTTATTTTCGAGTGGCAAAACAATATTTTATGAACGAGCGCAGCGAGTGAGTAAAATATTGTTTTTGCCACGAGAAAATAAAATTCATATCTTCAAGCCGCCGTGCAATGTCCTTGTTATTGTATAGACAAAATGACATCAATAAAATAATAGAGGGAAATTACCAAAATTACGTCATCAATAAACTCACGTGTGAGATTATGGAAAATAAACCACTCGGGTCCCGGGTGTAGTTTTTATGAATTTTACGAGTGATATATTTTCCAGTAAAACACTCGTGTCTATATAATAAAAGACCCTAATTTGGGTATAGCTTTCGGGATTGTACGATTAGATGGAAGGAAGTGCGGGTGGGTAGTGGAACAAGATTTCAATGGAATTCTCGGGTCAACTTTTGTTGTGTTTTGTTTGTGTGTTAGTTTGTTTTTGCGTTTTCCCCCGAATGTGTGCTCAGACAAGTATGTTTAAAAGATCCCTCCTCATAGCACAAGTTAGACGACAAAGTTGCCCTTGACCTTTAAAGCTGATGACGTCGCCAGCGGTATAAGGGACGTGAATCCGCACGGGCGAATAGGTTAAATCAGACTTTTTCCATTTAAAATTCTTTAAAAAAATAATAATAATTCTCTTTTTTTCATTTTCGCGAGTTTGAATCATTATCAGCGATTCCATCTTATTCGTTTGTTTGATTATTCTATTTAGAGCTTTACCTTTGCTGGTCTGGCATCGTCAGAATTGGAGCATTCTTCATCCATTTGTTCATCTGGAGGATGATGAGTTAGAAGGGCTTGCGTCCAACATAACGTACGTTGCTGGCTTCACTGATGCTTCGGTTGAAAACAGAACGGAACTGTATGACCTGTTTGTTAATGGTAACAAATTTTTGTAGCTTCTTAATTAATAGATAAGGTTATATCTCACGATAGAGGCCCTCTTAGGGAAGGGGCGCGGGGTTTGTGGGGGGGGGGGGGGGGGGGGGGGGGGGGGGTTTTTCCCAAGGCTGTAATTTTGAATTGGGTGGTTGCCATTTTGGGGGAGAAGCCTTTGCCCTGTGGGTGTTTTCAACTCTTTTTGTGCTTTTTGGACACTTTCTTTTTTTTTTTTTTCCAGGTGTTTTATTTTATTTAAGTTTTTCATTTGATTTTTTTAATTGTTGCATATAATAAAAACATGAATAATATCTTTTTGCTTTCTCTTTTCACATATAGTAAAAAATACATTGGAAAAAAAGATGAAAAAAGACAGTATTTGTATGTTTGGGAGTTTGGGTGGTAGCAGGGGGGGGGGGGGGGGGGGGGGGGGGCGGTGTAAGTATGTCCCAAGTCTGAATTTCAGATATGGTCGTTTCGCATTTTGAGGAGTAGACCATGTCCCTGTCGGTATTTAACACATCTTTATGCCGTTTGGCACCATTTCATCTAGTCTTATGTCCGGCAGTTTCAAAGCCATGTCATTCGTCTGAATTTTATCCTAACAGGGCCTCACTTTACCGGGTAGCTCGTACGCCGGCACGAAACTAGAACCATACCGGATAGGGCCTCTGTTCACGAATAAGAACGACAATTTTGGGGCGATTTCTGTTACGGAGGCTGCGCCGTGCCAATCTCGAAAGTGTAACATCACATATTGGATAGTTTCTGTGCCACACTTTGGTGGTGCATTGTTAATAGGTATTTTGATGGTAACGCCGGAGGTGAATAAGTGAGAGCGACGTCTGCAACCCACTGGGACGGAAGTAAATATTCAGGAGTGAGAACTGGCATTTGGTGGTCCAAACCCTCTCTGCAAACTGCTCCGGTACAAGTTAATGTTCGATGTGTGTGAACGACATGTTCCAGTCCCGAGCCGTTACTGCCCATACTATACCGGATTGCTTTTCGTATCTACACGATAATCGATCCGGTATGATGTAGCGATCCTCTGACCTGTTATCTTAGCATTACACTGTTTGGTGAAAGGGAAAACAATTACAGTCCAACATCGGTAGAATTTGGGCGGTACATCTTGTCCCATTTCTCAACACCGTTTGACTTGAATAGTTAGGGTCTCTGTCTCATACAGGTGGCCACCCTCTAGAGAGTCGACCAAACTTGACTGCCAGAAGAACGGCAGAGAACAACTCTAGGTGTTCGTTTAGGAAAGCTATCTGTGTAATCATAGCGTCTGTTTCGAAAGAGTTGACCGAGCAAGCTTACGAGAGTCGGACCTCAGGGGATCTCTACCTCAAGCAGTTCTTGCACATTTAGGAAGGTGAAAATAACGTTAATACTCGAATTAGCGCCCAAGAGGCGACGCGTATTTGAATGGGCGTTGCATTTCATTCTTTAGTGATTTTGGCCTCAATATGGCTTAGTCCATGTTTAAAATAAACAAAAACAGTAACATTTAACAGGAAATCTAAAAAGTACATGTATCTCCCTGTATTTACTCGATTTCCTGTGTCTGCTGCGTATCCTTGGCTCTGAACGTTCTGTTGTAACCAAGTTTTGTAGCCGTCCTTAAGCAAATTTGTCAAAGGAGCCGCATCTTTAATATCTACTGATGGGAAGTTTAAGGTAAAGAGTCCATTTCTACGTCGGTAGTTCTAAATACAGCTGTAGTCATCATCTGATTAACGAACCTGAGGCCGACGGTGCACTTACTTTTCCGCCCCCACTCCCCCTCCGCCTTTCCATCATGCAGTGCTCCGTTTTACGATTAGTAAAAGTTTTTAAAGCTGCTGATGTACGCGGTAAGGAAAGAAGTCCAAACAAGGATTTGAGGTCAAAGCTGGGAGTCGTACCCGCGACCTCTTGCTCAGGAGGCCGCACTCCAACGAACTGTGTCAATCTTTCCAACTTCTCTGGTGGTTGTTAGTGATTTTACGTTTTCTGTAGTACAGTCAACTCTCTACAGCAAACACCTCTCGTAAACGACCACCACTTAAATTTCTTACACCACCTGACCACTTATTAAAACAGAAATTTGACATATTCTTTTGTTTTGTTACTCGTAAGCGACCACGCGGCATGATCACATATGATTGTAAGAAAACCATTGCTCAAATGCCACAAAAGAATAGTTTTTAAAACGCTGACCAAGCGTGTTGACAGATTACATGTATAGCAGTTGTCTTACAAAAAAGATGGCTGATACGATTTGTAGGTAAAAAGGGTGGATTATAACACTGATGCAAAATTTTGTGTACAAAAATTTCAACAGTTTTAAGCGCTATTCGATAAAAACATTATTGTCAGTTGTCTGTTTGCTTCCGTTTTAGCTTGTAAGGTGACAACTTTGTATAATATGGTATATTTAATAGTTCAGTTGGAGCTTATTTTCTTGATTTTCCCCGTAGACCGCCTCCGGTAAGCGACCACTTTGCCGCGCACTAAGGGTGGTCGCTTACGACAGAGTTGACGGTAGCTACCCACCTACCCCTCTCCTAAGCCAACATTTTGCCCTAAGTAAGAACTGAGTGTTAATGTTGGTTTAGGGGAGGGGTAGGTGGGCAGTTTCACAGAAACGTAAAATGATCCGAATTTTCCCCATAAATACAGGTCTCTTTACGTCCAAACGAAATTTCTTTTTTGTGAAACTTTTTTTGTATAGCAAAATTAATCATTTAGTTCTCTTGCTATTTCCTTTTTTTCAGTTGCCGCCGGAGAAATCTCTATTGCACCTGAGGCGGAAGGTATCATTAATTTCTAGTTCGAATTCGAATACCAGTTGAAGAATTAAGTGGCACTGAACAAGCGTGCATTCTCAAATCTGGTAGTCCACCCTCCCAATACAACAACGTTTTACCAGAAACTCGTCGTAGGAAAAGAAGTTGAAAGTAGGATAAGTAAAGTGGATTTTAATCGGTTTTCTGGTGCTCAATGGGCACTAGAAGGGCTTTAGAAGCACTTTCAGGTGTTACCCTATTAAGCAATTGTTTCCCTCTATTGAATCCCATTTTCCGTGATGGTTGTTTCGTCTTTTGTCGTCGTTCTTCGATGTATCGTTAATGATCCCTAATACGAGAGCGACATGAACTCGTACTCGACGTTGATGCTAAAACTAATCTCGCACATGATCTAGTGTCAGTCTATAAAACTCATTTTATGATTAAATGTCTTGATCATCACACATTTGTATTTTTTGTTTGGTTTTCTGATATCTTCTTTTTTATCTGTTTTAATTTGTGCTTTTCGCTATTTTCGTAGAAACTTTTCAAATGGGAAAAATTCACAAGGACATTGCTATGTTCATGGTAGAGGCTGCTAAAAACGAGGAATATAATGATCAGACGTTGGTGAAGGTAAGAAGTAATTCAGAATTGCCTCCAGCTTGCTTAACTTGAGACGAAAAAGACAAAAACATAAAACACCCATTTGATGCGGTATTTTATGTTCGTTTTCTCCATTTCAGGAATTGTCCGTCAAGACAAAGGACCTTATAAACAACCTCACAAAGCTAGCGGTGGAACCCGAGGGAGGAGGAAAGGCTAGGGTGACTTTAGAAGCTTTAAAACAACGTAAACTTACAGCTGTAGTGGAAAACTTTTTATTTAATCTTGCTGCAGCCGAGGGTTTGGTTTGAAACACAAGGACATGTTTTAGCGTCTAGAATCTGATTTACCGTGTGATTTTGTGCCCCTTTTCCTTACTAGCATGTCAAATAAACGCTTCTGGGCCAGAAAGAGGGAAATTCTCTCTAAAACTACGTATATTCAATTTGCCTACTATTCAGGCTTCTCTAGTGAAAACGGTGCTACTGACTACAATTTTGCCTTGCTCGAATCGCGTATAACATGGATTGATTGACGGTTTATTATTTTTTTGTTTGACAAAAGTTTGTCGAGTCCTAAGGCAGGATGACAGCGCTTTGACACAAGTCTAGGGGTGGATTGTAAACATTGTGTGCACTTAACCTGTAAACCGCAATTTTTGACGTCAAAATTTGAAAAATATATAAAAGTCTTGTGTTGATGCTCTGTCAATCTAAGCTTTCTTGACAGAGATGTGCGTACAAAAGGAGCAAAATTTTCTTGCAGAAATAATTGACAGATACCACAGTTCCATGCTGAAAGAAGTAAATGCTTGGCGAGCATTTCTTAGTATTGGTCACGAATAGCTTAGCAATAAAACCTTGTATTTTTACTGTTACAGCACATGTTTTGAGCTCTACATGTAGTTCTTGTAATATCCACTACGCACACACCGCCACGATAGTTGGAACTATTTTAATGGTAAACTTCACGTGATATAGGTACAGAATGCGTGCGAAGTTACACAGGATACCACATCCCTCACATATCTCAAGTTACAAGTTAAACAAATAAAAAAAGTTAAGACCTCTTAAAACAATTATACATCTATTTACATCAAGGAATCAATATTATAGCTAAAGATAAGTCTATTCACATAGGACGATTTGAAGCGCTCTGTTGCCACTATAGGATGATAAAAACATGGTTTTCTCAGCGCGTAATTGGTGAAATTCCTCTCTGGTAAAATCTTCACAAGGGGCGAATTTGTTCTCAAGGCTGTTCTAAAAATACGGCGATCTGATCTTTCAAGCAGCTCCCTCATATTCAATTTCCTCGATATATCCTGCGTTTATAGCACCTATTTGAAAAATGCTGTACGTTGTTAAGATTAGAACAGGAGGCTTCGTTCACCGATAAACCATACCAAAAATTAGGCATAACAATTGATTGTAACAGATAATCCAGCTCCCCCTGATTGTACCCCTCTTGCCGAAGAGTTCTTATTACGTGCAGGCATTTATTAGCCTCAACAAGTTTTTCACGCTCGTGACTTGCGTATTTATAATTGTAATGGTATATCACACCTAATAGTTTAAGCTCGCTGCATTGCGGAATGTTATGTATTTTACACAGTTCCTCTACAAACCGTTTTTTACGCATGGTGAGTTCTTAGCACTTTCCAGGATTACCGGTACATGACATGGAGTTTTTTTCAGACCAACATAAAAAATTGCCCACCACTTCCGGTGACTGATCAACTCCATCTTTCCAAAACGGGATTGATGGTTTCTTAACATATCTTGGAAATGAAGCAAACTTCTCCGGGCTTGGGTGAGCTGGTGTGCTTAATTCTCCTGCTTCAGTGATCTCTCGGTCATCTGCGGAGTTGATAACTGCGTTTACAAGTTTGAAGTGGCTGATATCTCTGCAGATTGTTTTTTCATCAATTGCTCGTCTGGCTGTGATTCTGGATCCATTTATCTTATGTACGATGTAGAACACGGGTTCGTATGGCATACTCCATTTGTTTCTTTTCTCTTGCTTGACCAACACATAGTCACCTAGCAGACGTCTTCCTTGTCCTGTGTTTTTGCCTTCTCTGTTCTGTTTCATTTTCTGTTTGTACACCGCATCTCTCTCATCTATGATGTCGTCCTTCTCTGATCTCTGCACTTTTGGCTGAATGTGATCCAACTTGGTCCTTACGGTTGTTTCTCTCATTGCTTCAAAAGGGGTGGCTCCCGTGGCTGGATTTGGAGTTGATCTGTATGCAGTCAGCATGTCCTGTATTGCATTCTGTCTCTCCAGGCGGTCTTTTCCTTGCAGGTGTGCAATCTGTTCCGTCTTGTTTAGGATTTGCATGAATCGCTCAACCTCTCCATTTGCTCAAGCGTGGAGTGGCGTAATCTTGTGGTGTTCAAGTCCTTCTTCAAGAGCGAATTCTTGGAAATCTTTCGAACTAAATGGTGGTCCGTTGTCGCTCTCTATCCCCTTTGTAGTTCCATAGGCTGAGAATACTTCAGTCTCTCCTTGTGACTTTGAAATTAGTTGAGGGTACTGCCTCTACTACTGGGTATTTGGTTCTCTTGTCAATAAGTATAAGGTTGTAGTGGCCATCTGGGTATGGTCCACCATGGTCGATGGATAAGGTGGCTAAGGATGTTTGTCACCTTAATAGGTTCTTCTCTCTTCTCCTTCGTAGCTACTTGACATTCGCAACATTAGTTGATGACTGCATCAATCATACTGTTCATCAAAGGGAACCAGTATTTCTCTCTCAATAGCTGTTTGGTCTTTGTCTTGCCCAAGTGTCCAAGGTTGTGTCCTAGCTTGACTATACACTGTTCTCTGAAAATTAGTCCTTCTGCGATTGACAACTTTTGCTTCACGTGAAGATTTGGTTCCAGGCCTTTGTCTCGCTTGTGCTTCTCCCAGTCGCCCTTCACGATTCTCTTCGCTAGTTTTTGCATCACTTCAATTTTCAGGGTTTCTTCTCTAATTCTTGTTATAACTACAGCATGTTCTGTGTTCATGGTCCATCTGATGATCTTTTCGGTGCTATCATCTCCTGTTTGAGGTAGTAGGTGCCTCGATAGGTAAACTAGGGGGTCTTTTTCGTCTTTCCCAGGCTCGTACACCAGCTCATAGTCAACGTCCTGCATTTTCATTACCCATTTTTCGATTCTGGGTGGCATTGTAGCTTTCGCTTTATTGATTAAGGGTAACAGAGGTTTGTGCGCTGCGACAATACGGAATCTCGGTGCTCCAAGCAGGTAAACTCGCAGTTGTTCTTTTGCCCACTTGATGGCTAGTGCATCTTTCTCGGTCTGGTTATATCTTTTCTCGGTTTCTGTCATTGTGGGTCTGATGAAATGCGCTGGCTGTATACCCTTGTTAGTCTTTTGCAGTTGAACTGCTGATAAGCCTTGGTTGTAGCTTGCTTGGGTGTGCGGAATTATTGGTCTGGATGGGTCAAAGAATGCCGTTGTCTTGTCGTTTGAGGTGGTGTCTTGTATCTTCCTGAATGCTTTTTCTTCTTCTTTCTCCCATTTGAATTTTGTGTCTTTCCGGGTTAGCTGATAAAGTGGTGCTGCTATGGCTGCATAGTTGGTGATGTAGTTGTCCAGGTAGCCATCCATTCCCAGAAAACTTCGGACGGCTTCTTTGCTTTCTGGAGGGCTGCATTCCTTGATTGCGTTTACTTTGTCTGGTGACGGTTTCAGTCCGTCCTTGGTAAAGACATTTGCGACGAACTCAATCTGCTCTTTCCCGAATTGGCATTTCTCTTCGTTAAATGTTACTCTATGATCTTTTGCTCGCTGGAGGACGGTCTTCAATACCTCCTTGTGTTCTGCTTCACCTCTTCCTCCGAGGAGTTCGTCATCTCTTTGGTTCAGGTTGTGGGTATGTCTTCGAAGGCTCTGAACATTGCTTCATCGAAAATATCTTGTGAAGATTTAGCTCCAAATACTTGTCTCTTTGTTCTGTAATTTCTCCAGGGTGTCCTGAATGTTGCTACCTGTCTTGTGGCAGGGTCTAGTATCAGTTGGTGATAGCCTTGTCTCAAGTCCAATTTCGTGAAGATCTTGCAGTCATGCAAGCGGTAGATAAAATCTTCAACTCTTGGTGACTGGGCACATCTACTTCGTTGCGCGGCTTCATTGGGTATTCGCATATCAATGCTTGCTCTGATCATCTGAGGTTCTAATTCTTCATTCTTAATATCAGCATACTTGGGTTTAGGCTGGACAACTAGGGGTGAACACCATGTGATGGTTTCTCCGTCTAGGACTTTTTCAAATACGTTTTCCTTTACTCCCTGCTCAAGCCTTTCTTTGAGAGGTTTGTGCAAATGATATGGGACTGGGCGTAGTTGCTGGGCTACTGGAATAGCTTCTGGATCCATCTCTAGCTTGACTTTTATCTCTTTGCCGGTACTCTTGTCTTGGAAGCATCCTATCCCTTGACAATTATCATTGTATTCACTGAGTAACGCTTCAATGTCATCTGTTGGCTTCACTGACTTGATTCTAAACTCATTGGTTTCTTTTAGTGTTCCGTCTCGGTCAATCTTGATCATTCCCAGTCCAATTAGTATGTTCTTGCTTAGGAGAGGAGGAAAGTCCATTTTTCCCTCGATCACTAAGAACTTGCTTTTTGCTCCTCGATTCTTGATTCGAATTGTTGTATGAAATTCACCTTTAACTACCAGATCAGATTGGAGAGTCTTCAATATGTCTTTGCTTGGATCTAGTTCTCCGATTTCCTTTGATCTGTGTTTTAGGGCTCTGAATTGGTACTCGTCCATCACGTTCACACCTTCTTCGCTGTCGGGTTCTACATGCACGTCAATGTCTCCTATTCTGATAAGAACAGTGTCCGGAGTTCTACCTGATCTCAGTTTCTGTGCTTGATGTAAGACGTGTCGTGCTGTCTGATAAAGATATTCGCAATCTGATTCGCTACTTGCGTCGGTGTCTGCCTCGGTTGTTTTCTTGACTTTCTCTTTTCGTGACTCTTTGTTTTTCTCTTGTAACTTGTCTGATCCTGATCTACATCACGTTGCATAATGATTGTATTTACCACACTTCAGGCACTGTTGTGCATAAACTGGGCAGTTGTGTCCAGGGGGATGGAGTCCTATTTTTCAACACTATTTGCAGCTATTCTTGGAGCTTCTTTCTTCTTTCTTGTGTTCTTGCTTACGGTTCTCTTGTGGTGGGGGTTTCTTGTTCGGTAAACTTGGGTATCTTGCACCTCCCCTAGCATCATATCTCTCTGAGATTTTCCCCATTGATGTTTCACCTTGGAGATTTTGTAATCTTTTTTCATGTCTTTTACATGCTGGTTAATGTCTTTTTCTTGGCTGGCTTCTTCGAGGAACTGGTCAAGTGCCTACCTTTTCTGTATGCTTTTCTTGATAAAATCGTTATCCTTGATTGTTTGTATCAGCTGTTCTAGAATCCTATCGTTGGTCTGGTCGCCGATTCCACAATCTTTCGCCTTCGCACGTAGTCGCGCTGTGTAGTTTACGATACTTTCTCCCGGTTCTTGTCGTTATTTGCTAAACGTGTAACTCGTATGCTGTTTGTTTTTCTTTAGTAAGAAGTAGTTGTTGAGTTTCCGGATTAATTTCTTGTAGTGGGTGTCGCCTTCAGCAGGAACTGTATCTGGAAGGTTTCGGGGGACTTTCTTGATTTCTTGTCAGCCGTAGATTTTGAACGCCCTTACTTTGTCTTTCACGGCCTTGATTTCAAAATATTCCCTATCTTCTTCGAAGTCTTCGAGCCATTCTTGCCACGTTCGCCCGGTTTCTAAGGGTTTGTCTGGAATCTTGAACGAGTTTATTCTAAGAGATTTTCCAAAAGTCGAGACTCGAATTTCTGTTGGGTTGCTTGTGCTGTTGGTTCCTTCGTTTGGCTTTTTTTTCTCTGACACGAGGTCTTCGATGTTCGGTGCGTTTGATAGTTTCTTCTTTGTTTTTCGTTTCTATTCTCGCCAATATTATCTCCGGTGGCTTTCTCGTCTCTTCTGCTTTCGTTTTTCTTTGATCTTCTGTCCTATTTTCTCTTCCTGCGGCGTGTATTCGTCTCTCTCGTCGCCAGTGTAATATCCGCTACGCCCACACCACCGTGATAGTTGGAACTGTTTTTAATAGTAAACATCACGTGATATAGGTAATAATGCGTGCGAAGTCACACTCTGACAGATGGATAGATCTGGCGTTCCTATTCAGATTTTTTTTTTTTTTTTTTTGAACTATCGATTTCAAATTTATGTTTGTGATAAGAATATATATCACCAAATTTTTTCAATAAACTGTATATAACCACAACATATGTTTAAGTAAGAGAAGTGACATCTTTTAGTTAACACCTGTTCCTGGGCATCAGAAACAGCGTTTTAATTTTGTAAGGCTAGAATATTTGCTATTTGATGACAGGAAGAGGATATTGCAGTTTATCTTTTTTTGTTTAGTTTTAGTTATTCAGTTTCTGATAGATCTGGAGACTAATTATTTTTTGCTAATGATTTGTGTGCGGAAAATCGTAAAGAGCTAAAATTATTGTTAGAAAGTAAAACCAAAAAGTCCGTGTAAAGAAAACCAAGACGAACAACCTTCAAAGTATCAAATCTTGATTGCTATATGTTTTTTGAACTTTCATGCAATGCTTGCCCTCTTCGTTGAACTTAAAATTTTCGTTGGTAAAGTGAAGTTCAATTTCTTGGATCATCACCTGGACAAAAATGAATCACTTGGGAATTATTAGATAAGCTGACGGTTATTTCCTTGCACTGTAGCTGTAGAGGAAGAGAATAATGACTTGGTTATTGCGGTCGGAAGGTAATATTGGACATGTATTTGCATCACAACTGATAATTGTTTACATGTATACAAAAACGAAGTGTGTGTATAAAAGGAAACGAAATATAGTACTACAAAACTAGCTTGCTCGCAGGCTGTATTAAAATTTTTTAATAGAAAAAATTCTTTGTGTTATTCTCGTCCTCTTTGCTGCTTATTCATGTTGGTATATTTTATAATTACGTTCAACATTTTGTCAGCTGAGCCATAATAAGTTGGGCTGGTAAACACAGACGTGCAGTCAAAATGATGAGGTTCGGAGTGAATGTGCCTGCTGCTGGTGGTTAACCTTGACTGAAAATTTGAAACTATAAATCTACTTAGGTCATTTCAATAGAGAAGGAGTTGGCGTCACGATCTCGAACCATCGTGAGTTGTTATTTTTCTTGCCTGTAATAAGCGATTTACGTGGAATCATTCTTTCCTAGAGTCGTTAAGAAAATAAGCAAAGAAGAGGACCATAACAGAAAACAAGCATTTTTTAAATTCTTTTGAAATGACTTGAGACTTTTCCACTCTGTATAGACTAGTGTTTGATTCAAATAGATGTTCAACTTGAGCATTATGTTCGAAACCGCAATAGCCAAAGATTAATTCTTTTACTTAATACAGGGGTGCGAGTAGTTTAGCCACAAAATGAATAAAGATATTATGAGTTTTTACTTTCGTATTCCATCTTGACGATACATTTAATACACAAGTAATGAATTTTTAACAACCTTTGCGGATTCAAGAAAGTAGGGAATCCATCACTGTTACCGACATTTCTGTCAACTTCCTTTCTTGGAATATATTTTAACTGCCCTGACCTTTCCATTTTTTCTTCGCAACAAAATGGCTCCTGCCAAAAACAGGGAACTGAACATATTTCAAGAATATTTTATGTTATTTTGCTTTTAACGTCCACGATAAACCAATAAAGGCCAATAGAGCTAAACAAAACGATAACTGACAGTGCTTCGTTCCCAGGAACTCCACTTCTGGAGCAATTAAAACTGAGTCTGTTTGAAGGAAGTTTCGCATTTTGAAGGCCGCTTCAATATATTTATCTAAGTACATACAATTTTTCTCGTCTTGTTCAAAGTTATTTTTTTTTTAATTACTATTTTTTAAAACTGTGCGAATACGTTTTCCCGTAAATTAGCCCGGTGTATAAGGCCTTTTAAAACAGGAAAACAAACTTCCGAAAGGTCGGGATATAAATTAAGCGGCAATAAGCTAACGTCTTAGACAATAAGTTACAAGGTACAACTCGATCATTTATAAAGTCAAATCTTTCAGTCTTATACTTCTTAGGAAGTAATGCCTTCTTGTCATGCAATAATCAACTAAAAGGATGACAACAGTCCTCACACATAACTTTTCCTTAGTAGAAGATTGGAGTTCAGTTGAAATGCACGGGGAATTTACATGCCGACATTTGGTAATGATAGCCCAAATTGCTTATTTTAGTGTCTAAACTTGAGTCTAGCTACTTGATCCTTAACTGACAGATTTTGCTTGTTGTCACCGAATGCGCCATGTTGTTGTCATTCGCTAAACTTCTAGATGCCATTTCACCGGAATCATACGTGACCATGCCGGGTGGTCGCTTTCTAGAAACAGAAAACAAAAGAATAGACCTCTATAGCTTGTATTTTTTGTTTTCCCAATAGAGTTCCCAGGGGAACATGGCCCTTTCTCTTTTCATAAATTGTGCGCAGATATGCACGTGAATTTGACGAAATTTGAAAGGAACAGTTCTCTAGAGTGTTATCACATGACCTTTATTGGGAAAACAAAACTTAGAAACTTAAGAGGTCTATTCCTAGCCTAAAGAGTCATTGCGGTCGTTTAAAAAAATTAAGTAGTAGTCTCTTACGAGAGAGTTTTTGAAATAAAACAGGTATTTGCAAAGTGGTCGCTTATGGGAGGTGGTCGCTTTAAGAGAGTTGACTGTATTTGCTTGTTCGTGTATACTTTTATCCCGACCCAGCCGTGGAAGTTTGTTTTCCTTCCTTTAAAAAGTTATTCATGGGATAACTTAGGAAAGAGATATGGCTTAATAAAAACGTTTCAGAAATGTCATGCATTTATCTTAAATCCTTGTAATTCCAACTAACAATTTGACATAGTTTATATTCTTAACGAACATAGAAATTAAACGTCATTATGTTCAAAACAACATTTTGGCGTCATTTCTATGATCACTATTAACGTTGTCCTAGAATGCTTGGTGTGTGTATGGCTGAAGTAAGGAAACAAAAAACCACGTGAAGTTTGCGGCAAGTGGTTGATTTGTAATTCTAAACTTAATTTGTTCAATCGACTGGAAATGGACAAAAACGAAGACGTCATCAGTCAATTATTCAACCAATCAATCAATCATTCAACTTATAAATCGATGTTGAAAGATTAGTGCGTCTGCGATGGATTACTTGCTGCCAAGACACGGTAGAAATAATTATCGCCCAGGGCCTAGTTTTTCGAAAGACGGGTTAAACTAACCTCGGGCTAGGCCTAACCGGAGGTTAAAATTCTTAAACTGCAGGTTTCTTAACTTGGGGTCAAAATTGCGTTGTTCGAAGCGCAGTTAGAGGACTGGTTAGTTAACCTCGGGTTTCCCGCGACTTACTCGCGGTTAGAATCCCATAATACCTCTTGATTTGTTTACGTCCTAAAACCTCGTCGGTGCAGGATCCCAGAAAAAAATTATTTCAGCCCCCCAGAAAAAAGTAAGTAAGTTGACAAACAGTGTGACAAACAATGGCAAAAAAAATTGGACACCGATATCAGCGACACAACGCTTTAGGAGTGGAGAGGAGATAAGTGGCGAAATGCGATGAAAATAGAAGAATCTTCATTTCTTGGGCAAAGTTTATCGAATTTGCAAACTTTCGAAAAGAAAAAAAAAGGGGAGGAGGATTGACCTGCTTCGACACCTGTAGCGAGCTCTTAGTTCTTCGTTTGTAAAATGTTTAATTTTTATCACTTGTCTGAACTATCTGTGAGTCTTTTCTGTTGTCGTTTTAATAGTCGGTAAAACGTGACAACAAGGCAGCCATTTTGTTTTGACATTGCTTTTATTATCATTTAACCTAAAGTTAATTATTTAACCTACCTAGCTAGCAGGGTTAAATTTAACCCGCTGTTTAACCTGAGGTTTGAGCTAACCGGTATTTGAACAACGCAACAAACCTGCGATTAAAATTCAACCTCGGGTTAAGTCAATTCAACCCCAGGTTAGGGTTTAACCCGCTTTCGAACAACCAGACCCAGAGAGAAAGCGGAGATGCTTTTTCTTAAATCTTTATATATTTAAATGAAATATCTCTTTTTAATAAAATTACAGCAAAAGGCCTACACTTTTAAGGCCACACTGAATTTTCACTTTACAAATTGTGTTGATAGATACAGAGATTGTTACAAATCTGTGTTTGCGATGGTCATCCTTAGAGTTTGAAATGACCCTTTAATGGAATTCCTCTAATCATCGCAGTAATATACGATGCGTGGCAGTGCCTTAATCATCTTCCAGACGTGCTCTCGGAGTTCCCTTGTAAACGTTATGTACAAGAAAGGGTTTAGCGAGCTGTTCAGATTAGGAAGAATGGTAACAAAAATGGTGCCAACTGAAGGAAGTCTTTGAAGACCGTGCCAAAGACTCAAATGCAAGAGAATAAAAAATGGCAACCAGCTTATGCAGAAAGCACCAACCACACACGCCATCATTTTTGCTGCTTTCAGCTCGTGCAAAATACGTGATCGTCGAAGCGACTTGTGGTGTTTCTCGGCCTCATCCGTTGGACCAACCATGTTGGCGAGAACTCGTTGACGTTGCTGAAAAGCCACTTTAGTGAGATACGAGTACGCTCCAATGACGATTGCTAGCGGCAAGAAAAACGCAGCGCTCGACACAATCGTGTAATAAAGGCGATCGTTTTTTCCGCAGCCCATGTTCGTTCTGAAAGTCTCCCATTGGTTGGAAGTCCAGTTGTGGAGACCAAGAGTTGCCCAGATGGCGGAGTAAGACCACACGATCAAGATCATTACAAAGCCGGTCCGACGTGTCAAGATAGCTGTGTAGCGAAGAGGATACTTGACAGCGATAAACCTCTCGATTGATACAGCTGCAAGGCTGCCTATAGAAGCACTACAGACGGCCAGATCAATCCAGATCCAGAGCGCGCAGACTTTGAAGTTAAGACACCAGACCTCATTGTGTAGCATATAGTAGATTCTGAACGGCATGGAAAGAAGAGAAACCAGCAGGTCTGCGGAAGCCAACGAAACGATAAGGAAATTTGTGGTGCTGTGCAAAGCCCTGTTAGCGTACACTGTTACGCAAACGACCAAATTTCCCAAGAAGGTGACGATGCAGATTACGATTAACAGCAACGAAATTGCGAGGTTTTTGGCAGAGGGAGGAAAATCGCATGAATTGAAAGATAAATTGGTAGCAGTGTTTTCTGATAAGTTATTTGGATATTGCGTTGAATATAAATTAGTGCCCTTGCTTTCATTCATGATTTCGTGACTTGCTTGATCTTCTAACTAGCTATGTCGCGAAGCAAGTCCTTTCTAAGTTAACGTGACTGCTATACGTCCATTCATTGTCAGATTCGAGAAATTTGGGCGCACGATGTTTGGCGACGCATTAGACAGCTTGTCGAAAGTGCGTCATCAAAGATACATGAACGTGCTTTTTAGAAACCACAAAATGTAAGGGTAGATACAATCAATTTTGCTTTATTTTTTTCGTCTGTCAATATCACACACATAGCTGCAATCGCGGTCATAATTTGTTGAAACACTTCCGGAAAACACGACATTAACTTATTCGTCTCATGAATACAAGCATTGCTTCCCTCTCCTTCCCTCAATGTTTCTTTCACGCTTTTACTTGGGCATAAACGTCTTCCAAATCAACATTAAAAGGGAAGGGAAGGAAAACCTCTCAAGCGTTTCAACAATTATGACCGGTATTGTCTTTGCTGTAGTGAAAGGTGCAATCTGTGAAAACGGACGATTTTACAAGTGGACGTTCAGGGATTCAAAATTTATTTAGACTTGAGAAATCATAATTTAAAATTGTATTGGGAAATAATATCGTGCAGGAGGACTTTCAAAATTGCGACAAATTACAAGCGGTGCAATTTACTGTAGTTATTACAATTGTTACAGTAAAAGTGCGGCTATCATTTCGCAAATGATCAGAAGCAAGTGTGTTATGTACTTTATGTAAAACCATGATGGTGGAATTTTAAGCTCACAGGGAAGTTTTCTTATAATATCAAAATGTCAGTAGCTTCTGAGTTGAAATAAACGGGTCGGCCAAAGGAGTGCTGGTGGATGTGTGGAATGGCGCACGACTATTGAAAGTTCAGTCTTTTCAGAGTACGTGACAATTAAAAGGAGCCTGATCCTCGCCTGTGTTTATATTAATGACAGCTCGGCCAATTTCACAATGTTTTCGGATTCTTTTGTAGACTTCAGCTACAGCCGAAAAACTAAAAACCTGTGAAGGTATGTCTTAAAGTTTTCAAGTGTTTTCTTTTTTAAAATGTGTTTGGAACTTATTTTAATATGGGTTAATTGAATTATGAATGTGGTGACACGCGAGTTTATCGCGCGTAACGGTTCACCAACGGTTCACCATTCTTTTTTTCATCCTGTTGTTAATTCGAAAGCGGCGTATGTTACGACGGCCCCTATCTACGGGTTATTTTTGAATTAGCTAATACAGGACAATTTCTCAACGGTGCACCATTGTGAACTGTTCATTTACAAAGAAAATGTTCTGTTTACTTTTAAAGAATACGGCTCACAATGGTGAACCGTTGAAATATCCCCACCTTTACTTTGTTCAAGGCCGAACGATCCAAACAGACAATATAGAGTATTGTCATTACTATTTCATCAGTAGTTGATAGATCTACGCGCTTGCTGGGTAATAAAATCTCCAAAAGCGTTTTAAATTCACGCCACCACTGTGCAGTCGTGCTTGACAACACAAAAATAAAAAAAAAATTACTCGCCTTTGAACTTGTATGTTATGATTAACTCGCTGTGTTACCAGATTCAAGTAGAAATTGCTCTATGTTGTACTCCTCGCGCCAGCATTTCTTTCCTACATTAATACAACCACTAATTCTCATATAAGACCATGCCCTGTTATAAAGACATGTCTTTGCTGTAGTGAAAGGTGCAATCTCTGAAAACGGACGATTTTACAAGTGGACGTTCAGAGATGTAAAATTAATTTAGACTTGAGAAATCAGAATTTAAAATTGTATTGGGAAAGCATATCGTGCAGGTGCAGGTTCGGCTTATGTCAATTTTGTTAAAGGTGACCGAGAAAGGAGTATGTACTCAAACAAATAATTAAAAACAAAAAGGAAAACATATTTATTGTACATATTTGGGTTAGTGTCTCTGATAGTCCTTTTCGCTTTACCTTTGGACAGGTTTTCTGGGCTGTTTCGGGCTTTTTCCGAGTGTCCCGGCTTGTTTTGGTGTTTAGGGTTTTGGTACACGCCCTTGAATGGTGATGGTTGAAAACGGGCTCGAAATTGGGCGTCTTTCTTAGAGTCGATGAAATTTGAATCTTAGCGTTCGCTAAGGCGTAGTACATTTTGATAAACGTAGCGTTTGACGTAACGTAGCTGGGCGGTTATAGACTTGACTCAGTTTAAGTCGCAGGCCACGCTTGTAAAGTAGCCAACTGGTTTTCCTCCTTCAAGCTGTGAAGTGTTATGTTACATTTAATTTTTTTTTATTTCATTATCCCTGAAAAGCCCCGTTCATTTTATCCAATGCTTCATTGTTGCGTGACATCTCAGTAACACCCATTTGGTGCGATCCTTTATGTTCGTTTTTCCCATCTCAGGAATTGTCCGTCAAGACAAAGGACCTTATAAACAACCTCACAAAGCTAGCGGTGGAACCCGAGGAAGGAGGAAAGGCTAGGGTGACTTTAGAAGCTTTAAAACAATGTTAACTTACTGCTGTAGTGGAAGACTTTTTATTTAATCTTGCCGCAGCCAAGGGTTTGGTTTGAAACTTAGAAGCATGTTTTAGCATCTAGATCTGATTTACAGTGTGACTTTGTTCCCTTTTTCCTGACAATCATGTCAAAATTTGACAACGCTTCTGAACCAGAGGGAGGGAAATTCTCTCTAAAAATACCTAAATTCAACTCGCCTGTTATTCAAGCTTTTCCGGTGAAAAGTGCGCTACTGAGAACAATTTTGCCTTGCCCGAGTCGCGTATAAAATGGTTTGATTGACGGTTCTATTACATTTTTTATGATTGACAAAAGTTTTTCCGGCCCTGGGGTAGTATGACAGCGTTTTGACAAAAGTCTAGGAATGAATTCTAAACATTGTGTGCACTTAAATTTAAAGTGCTTGTAAACCGCAATTTTTTACCTCAAAATTTGAGAAATATATAAAAGTCTACTATTGATGCTCTTTCAATCTAAGCTTACTTGATAGAGATATGCTTTAAAACGAGCAGAATTTTATTTCAGAAATAATTGTCAGATACCACAGTTCCATGCTGAAAGAAGTAAATGCTTTGTGAGCATTTCTTAGTATTGGTCACGAATGGATTAGCAATAAAACCTTGTATTTTCACAGTTACAGTACATTTTGTGGGCTCTACATGTAGCTCTGACGGATGGATAGGTCTGGCGTTCCTATTCAGAGTTATGTTTTTTTGTTTTTTTATTTTTTTTACTTTCGATTTCAAATGTATGTCTGTGCTAATATATATCACCAAATTTTTTCATTAAACTGCATATAACTACAACATATGTTTAAGTAAGAGAAGTGACATCTCTTAATTATCACCTGTTCCTGAGCAACAGAAACAGCGTTTTAATTTTGCAAGGTTAGAATATTTCATATTTTGATGACAGTAGGACGAAATTGCAGTTTATCTTTTTTTGTCTAGTTTCAGTAATTCAGTTTATGATAGATCTGAGGGCTTATCAATTTTTGCTAATGATTTGTGTGCGGCAAATAGTAAAAAGCTCAAAGTTATTGTTAAAATGTAAAACGAAAACGTCTGTGTTAAGAAACACAAGACCAACGACCTTTAAAGTATCAAATCTTGATTGCTATGTTTTTTGAACTTTAATGCAATGCTCGCCCTCTTAATTTCAGTTAAAATTTTCGTTGGCAAAGTGAAGTCCAATTTTTGGATCATCGCCTGGAGAAAAATGAATCACTTGAGAAGGATTAGATGGGTTGTTTTTTGCTTGCACTGTAGCTGTAGAGGAAGAGAATAATGACTTGGTTATTGCAGTCTAAAGGTAATATTGTACATATATTTGCATCACAACGAATAATTGTTTATACAAAATGGAAGTGTGTATAAAAGGAAAGGCAATATAGTTCTAGAAAACTAGCTTGCTCGCAGGCTGTGTTAAACTTTTTTTAATAGAAAAAATTCTTTGTGTTATTCTCGTCCTCTTTGCTGCTTATTCACGTTGGTATATTTTATAATTACGTTCGACATTTTGTCAGCTGAGCCATAATAAGTCGAGCTGGTAAACACAGATCTGCAGTCAAAATGATGAGGTTCGGAGTGAACGTGCCTGCTGCTGGAGGTTAACCTTGACTGAAAATTTGAAACTATAACTCTACTTACGTCATTTCAATAGAGAAGGGGTTGGCGTCACGATCCTGGGCCACCGTGGGTTGTTATTTTTCTTGCCTGTAATAAGCGATTTATGTGGAATCATTCTTTCCTGGAGTCGTTAAAAAAATGAGCAAAGAAGAGGACCATAACAGAAAACTAGCAATTTTAAATTACTTTTGAAGTGACTTGAGACTTTTCCATTTTGTATAAACTAGTACTTTGATTAAAACAGATGTTCAACTTCAGCATTCTATTCGAAACCGCAATAGCCAAACATTAATTCTTTTACTTAATACAAGGGTGCGAGTAGTTTAGCCACAAAATGATTACAGATATATGAGCTTTCACTTTCGTATTCCATCTTGACGATACATTTAATGTACAAGTAATGAATTTTTAACAAGCTTTGCGGATTCGAGGAAAGTAGGCAATCCATCACTCTTACCGTAAATTCTTTCAACTTTTTTTCTTAGGATATATTTTAACTGCCCTGACCTTTCCTTTTTTTCTTCGCAACAAAATGCCTCCCGCAAAAACAGGGAACTGAACATATTTCAAGAATGTTTTTTGGCTTTTAACGTGCACGATAAACCAATAAAAGCCAATAGAGCTAAACAAAACAATAACAGTGCTTCGTTCCCAGGAACTCCACTTCTGGAGCAATTAAAACTGAGTCTGTTTGAAAGACGTTTCACATTTTGAAGGCCGCTTCAAAGTTATTTTTTTTAATTATTATTTTTTAAAAAAACTGTGCGATTGCCTTTTTCCATAAATTAGTCGGTGTATAAGGCTCTTTAAAACAGGAAAACAAACTTCCGAAAGGTCGGGATATAAATTAAGCGGCAAAAAGCTAACTTCTTAGACAATAAGTTACAAGGTACAACTCGATCATTTATACAGTCAAATCTTTCTGTCTTATACTTCTTAGGAAATAATGCCTTCTTGTCATCCACGTGAATTAGACGAAATTTGAGAGTATTAACACACGACCTTTATTGGGAAAACAAAACTTACAAGGTAAGGACGTCTATTCCTGGCCTAAAAAGTGATCGCGCTCGTTTAAGACATTTAAGTTGTTATCTAATGCTAACCGTTCTAAAGTGCCTACTGTGTTTATGGCTGAAGTAAGGAAACAAAAAAAACCACGTGAAGTTTGCGGAAAGAGGTTTATTTGTAATTCTAAACTTAATTTGTTCAATCGACTAAAAAGAGCTCTACAAAGGTACGGCATGAACTTATGGAGAATTAAGCGAAGACGTCATCAGTCAACAAACCAATCAATCATTCAACTTATAAATCGATCTTGAAAGATTATTGCGTGCGCGATGGATTGCCTTCTCCCTAGACACGTTGAAATAGTTAAAAATTCCTAACTGGTAGAACTAATTATCGCCCAGATAGAAAGCGGAGATGCTTTTTCATTCATCTTAATTTATTTAAATAAGACATCCCTTTTGTTAAAATTATAACTAAAAGCCTACACTTTTTAAGGCCACAGTGAATTTTCACTTTGTAAATTGGGTCGATAGATCGACAGATTGTTGCAAATCTGTGTTTGCGATGGTCATCCTTAGAGTTTGAAATGACCCTTCAACGGAATTCCTCGAATTAGCGCGGTACTGTGCGATGCCTGGCAGTGCCTTAATCATCTTCCAGACGTACTCTCGGAGTTCTCTTGTAAACAGTATGTACAAGAAAGGGTTTAGGGAGCTGTTCAGATTAGGAAGAATAGTAACAAAAATGGTGCCAACTGCAGGAATTCTTTGAAGACTGTGCCACAGACTTAAATGCAAGAGAATAAAAAATGGCAACCAGCTTATGCAGAAAGCACCAACCACACACGCCATCATTTTTGCTGCTTTCAGCTCGTGCAAAATACGTGATCGTCGAAGCGACTTGTGGTGTTTCTCGGCCTCATCCGTTGGACCAACCATGTTGGCGAGAACTCGCCGACGTTGCTGAAAAGCCACTTTAGTGAGATACGAGTACGCTCCAATGACGATTGCTAGCGGCAAGAAAAACGCAGCGCTCGACACAATCGTGTAATAAAGGCGATCGTTTTTTCCGCAGCCCATGTGCGTGCTGAATGTCTCCCATCGGTTAGAAGTCCAGTTGTAGTGACCAAGAGAAGCCCAGATGGCGGAGTAAGACCACACGATCAAGATCATTATAAGGCCGGTCCGCCGCGTCAAGAGAGCTGTGTAGCGAAGAGGATACTTGACAGCGATAAACCTCTCGATTGAAACAGCTGCAAGGCTGCCTATGGACGCACTACAGACAGCCAGGTCAACCCAGATCCAGAGCGCACAGACGTTGAAGTTAAGACACCAGACCTCATTGTGTAGCATATAGTAGATTCTGAACGGCATAGAGAGAAGGGAAACCAGCAGGTCTGCGGAAGCCAACGAAACGATAAGGAAATTTGTGGTGCTGTGTAAAACGCTGTTAGCATACACTGTTACGCAAACGGCTAAATTTCCGAAAAAGGTGACGATGCAGATTCCTATTAACAGCAATGAAATAGCGAGGTTTTTGGCAGATGGAGGAAAATCACATAAATTTGAAGTTAAATTGGTAGCACTGTTTTCTGATAAGTTATTTGGATATTGCGCTGAATATAAATTGGTGCCGTTGCTCTCATTCATGATTTCGTTACTTGCCTGATCTTATAAGCAGCTATGCCGCGAAGCAAGTCCTTTCTAAGTTAACTTGACTGTTATTCGTCTATTCATTTTCAGACTCAAGTAATTTTGGCGCACGATGTTTGGTTACGCATTAGACAGCCTGTCGAGAGTTCGTCATCATAGATACATGAACGTGCTTTTAAAAAACCACAAAATATGAGATAGACACAGGCCAATTTTGTTTTATTTTTGCCTCTGTCAATATCGCACACAAAGCGGGTAAGTCGTAAAGGTAAATAGTTTACTCAGTTCATCTCGCCTGTCAAATTTTAGTATGGATATGTTGTAAAAGTTTTGGCTTTTGTCATTTTTATGACGGCAAAAATGAAACAAAAACAATTTCCTGATGTGTCGCTTGAATTTTAATCCAAATTGTTTTTTTAATTACACTTCTTCAGTCAACAAGGGACTTCCGCAGTGAATTTTGTCGTCTGAAGTAGATGATAACTTTATGAATTATGTTTCTCTTTTTTGCTTGTCTTTCTGGCTGTACGGCGTTTTTGCACATGCGCTGAGTATTAGTTTCCTGAACAGGGTTTTAAGTGGTGGAGTAAATTCAATCGTTCAGTTTCCTAGGTATCGAAAAGTTAGATACGGAGCGCGCACCGAACTCAGTATTTGACTGTGCAAGTTAACATTTTGTGGGAAAGGAAGTTAAAACAATAGTTATCTAAACCTTTAGCAAGAACTGAACACTGTTGAAAATTGATCTCACCAGCTAATTAAGACACAGCCTTATTCACATGTATAAAACATTGTGTAGATTAATTAGGACTGGGAGCAACAAACTAATAAAAGGAAGGGAATTGTTCTTATCAATGTACGTGCAGATATAATTCTAAGAAAATCCATCACGCGCTTGAGCTAATCGACTACCAGACGTCAATTAAAAGCTTAATCAATGCAATCATAGGAAGTGACTTAAATGTTGCAGCAAGAAAAGTCAATTGAAAGGAAAATGCCACATGTTAGATTTTTTTACTTGTTTGCCTTAAAATGTCGGTAAATGGTACTAGTACTTTCTTTCATCTGATCTCTGAAAAAAAATTAGAAGGAAAAAGTCGAAGCAAAAATTTATTAAATCAAAAAACGGCAGCTTCTGACATTTTTTTTAACTACAGATTACCGGCAATCCCTTTTTAGTCGTCATATGAGTGAGTCGCTGGACGGGCTAAGCCATGGCGAGGCAGCGAAGCAACCGAGATTTCCCTCGTTCGGTCCCAAACATGTGTAATAACAGAACACGAGTCTGAGATTGTAATGCGAAAAGTGGAACTTAAGAGCATCCCTAAAACGCTTAGGTTGAAGGTCAGTGAATAACACTAAATGCAGGAAGCAGCGTGTGGAGGTGGGTAGAATAGCGAAAGTGACTAGGGGGTTGTTTAATTATTAACTTAATATATTTACTATGTATGGATAGACCCCGGACGAAATATTTGCCCTTTCAGATTTTGCTGGGATGCACCGCTGATATTTGAAATCTTTTTTTAAAAAAACTCATTAGCTTAAAGCAGTGTCCGTAAGATTAAGTATTAGCGTGGCGTGGGAACTATTTTGTGCGGTGGTCATGACACTTTGTTTTTTTGAAGGTCGCTTCTTTTTTGAAAAATCCAGCAGCGTTCCATGGGTCATCTACTTCTTCTACTTCTCTGTACGTTGTTAACTAAAAGGGTTTTTTGCGTTTTGTGTTTTTCGTATACAAAAGGTGCCCTATAATTTGATCAGAAGTATGTATTAAGGGGAAGGAGCCAGATATTTGAAGTAAGTCCAGATTAGACCGTGTTTCCGACAATCAATAGACCTTCAAATCTTAAGTAAGTCAAGTTGATGTTGCTACGCGATAATGATGACGATAAACAATGTATACCAGTTGCTAGGACTGGGCATTTGAAGATTGACTTGCATCGCAGAGCGGTTTGTAAAATACCTTTGTCCCAAGGGTTCGAACATTGGGGCGAGAACTGGCGTTATTGAATAATCCCCTGTCGGGGGCCGTGAGGGGTTTTGGGGCGGGGGGCGGGGGGCGTTGGAAGTACCAAAAACCCAAAACCGCACTACTCTGTTGTGAAAGTTACTGAGCAGTATTTTCCTCTAAGAGTTTAATCTTTGCAATGTAAACAAAATTCGATTTGGGTGTTTTGAAAATTTAAGTGTTTTCACCTCGCGGTGCGAACTTTACGAAACAACTACTAGATGTATGGCATGTCAAGAACGAAACAAACAACTTGGTCAAAGTGAGCGTCATTGCAAAATTGTGCACAAAGTGCGAAACTCGAACTATGCACCTAAGATATGATGATCAAGGTGTGTCACAGCTGCTAATTCGCAAACCCCTTTCTTTTGTTGCGCACTATGCACACCCTAGATATCATCTGGTGATTTGGTAGCCGACTTCAATTGCATCAGAGAACTTAATTATGATCAGGGTTTGTCCTCTTTGATGTTATTCAATTGTTTGAACAAATATTCAAGTCAAGTCAGATGAACTATTTTTCTTCCTTTTTTTTATGGAACAATTTAATTTCAAGCAGTTTGATTATAATATATCTCACAAGTAAAGCAAAATCCAGAACAATTTATTTTTGACCTAACGTTAACGTCCAAAAAAGAAAGACGTTTGTAAAAGTAGCAAAAGACAGTGGAAGTAAGTGAAAGCTAGCTTTTATAGTGCTCTTGTTTTTACTATACTAGTTGTTTGAACAATTTTTTTTGTTATGCAGTTTACTATCTGTTAAGTTTCTTACAAAAAAAACCTTAAATGACGACTTGGGAACATCAAAGGACATGCCGAGTCAAACGAAGCTTCTATCGGAAGCTTTTCAAGGGATTTTTGATATTTAAATGTTTGAATTGACAAAGTTTGATTAAGTCGGTGAGAACCTTTCAGTTTTCTTGACGTTCACTGGTCGAAGATTCATAATGTTTATTCTGTAAACTGACTGAATCTAAGGTAATGTGAAAGTAAGCGATAGAAACGAGATTTTTAAGTTTTCTGTATCAATGACGGCTGGGGTGTTTCCTGTTAATTGAAGAAGTAATTTCGTGAAAATTTTTGACGCTTGACTTTTTTCCCGCTTCTCTTTGCCTTCTTCTTCTTTCTGCCGTCTTATTGCGTAAGCTCACTTGAGAAAGGTGTGCAAAGGATATACTTCACTCGTCATGACAGCCCTTTCGGGCAGAGAGGCAATCAATGTTTTTTGCTTTTTCACTGTCAATAGATGGTTTTCACAGTGCCGTCATCAAATTGTAAAGCCAAAATAGCGAGGTTTTACGGATTCTTATTTACACTAGGTCGAAGATAAACAAAAATTAAATCTTTGTACAAGTTTCCATTCGCGTAGCATACTTCATTTCGACAATACAGCAATTTGAACTTCCGAGTTTTCACAGTGTGTAACACCAAAATATGAATGCTTTCTCGTTAAAAAAAAGTCTCTCCTCTTGATTTTCAGCAGGATAACCGTTTCAGCTATTAGAAGATATGTTTATGCGCACGTAGGCTACAATGAGGGACAAAAGTGTTGAGACACTTCCGTAAAATGGCCCCTTTTTGAATACTGGACTTACCTATCCCCTTCCCCTGTCTACCTCCACCCCTCGCCCCCAAAATCAATGTTGTATTTTGGACCCTCAACTCTTTCTTTTACTTCAGACAACATTGATTCAGGGGGTGAGGGGATTTATGGCGTTTAAAAGGAATGAAATAATAAATGAAGTAAATGTTTGATAAAAGTACCCGTTCTAAACAAGTGTGTCAACTACTTTTGTCCCTGATTGTCTGAAATATGTATCTATGTTTTCCGGCTAGATTTTTGACGCTGCTGAATTGTTGTGCCATGACGCTACTCTATGGGCCAAATTGTTTGTGTACAAACAACCATTTGTAAATTTTCGTCCTGATTTGTAGTACACGTACAGTAAAATGTACTACGCGTATGTCATTACTTAATCTTGTACTCCCGCGCGCGTTCCTGATACCCTGTCGGGTCGAGAGGAAATCATTTGTGTTGTGATCACTGCCGTTGCTGTGGATGTAATGTTTTCACAAGTATTAACACTAGTGGAAAAACGATGGAAACACCAAGGTACAATGAAAATTGTTCTTGTGTGCATGAATAGTCAACTTAAGATAATGAAATACTGAGAGTAACGGAGCGGACATGCATTATTTTCGACACTGACTTGTGCCATTGGTGAAAGGACGTGAGCAATATACAGGATATGAACCTCATAAATTATGGGCCAGCCGTTTCTGCTATGCCCTATAAGTGTTTTTCTTTTTTTTGAGACCTTTTCAAACCTAACAGATCCAAACCTTAAGCGTAGGTAGGCGTAGAACAGGTTAGGAATGTACTTTTGTAATGATTTTAGATGACCGCCTGCCATTTATTCATTTATTCTAGTTCATTTCCCAGCTCCTAAATCACATAATGCTAAAGAAATTGTTTTCAAGATAGACAGACCAGTCTGTATCTCACCAAAAAAACAATTACTGTGGCCCAGAAGTTCACTTGATGACAAGGAGAGCGGGATTGGCACGTGATCGATGACGGCCGTGAGCTGGAAAATTTTCCGTTTTCATGCCCTAATTCCTCACAAAAGGCAAAAGAAGATCTCGCTATGTAGAAAGTGCTTTGCAATACTTATTCTTGGCGAGCAACATTGCAGCGATGTGGTGCAAATAAGGAGTTTTAACGGTTAACCACGGGAAAACATATCGACATTAAGAGGTCATAACAGACTAATATTACTTTCCGTTTGCCGAAACGTGGTTAACCGTTGTATCACGAAGGAAGCAGTGTTTTCCTCAGTTTGAGCTGTCGTTTTCTTTGAGAGTCAGATACCAGTTCACGTTTTAAAGCTCTGTTTTCATTTTTCCTGCCGACAATAGAGAAAAACAGAGGGTTTCGCTTGAGAAATGCAGTCCAAATACTCAGACATATGCGCTCATGTCACGCTAT